GAGAGTGACAGAGACTCTACCTAATTTCCAAACCTTTCCACTGATTTCCAGATCACCTTGGACCCATGCCAATCAGAAGCCATTTCTCGTCCTCCCCCCGGTCGGTCGGGTTCAATTAACTATTTGGAGGGACAACACGCGGTCGTGCCCCGCGGGCACACGGCTGTTCCCTCCGGCTAGTCTAAATGTTCTATCTTCCCCCCACACGATGTGGTCTCGGCCGAGGGAGGTCTAGAGGGGCAGAGCAGAGCTGGCCTGTGCCCTGGGAATCCGATAGATAAATGGGGGATGCCGATGTGTGTGTGTCTGGCTTAGTTCCCGGATCATTTCCAAGCACCGGGAAATGGGGTTTGACCTGCCATTGTGTTGCCGTATCCTTAAAATAGATTTTTAAAGCATTAGAAGAGTCTTTATAGAGATTTCGAAGTAATTAAAACCTTGTAAACCTACAGTTCGTCCCATTATTTTCGACCTGCACTTCCAAATGTCTCTTCACCAGCCCTTTAAAAAATTCTAGCTCGTCAACACATTGCAAGGGATTTCCTCCAGTTGTGCAATATTATCGCATATTTTTTTCGACACTTTCCTTTCCGCCGGAGAACGCTCGGTTCTAGGAAGTTTTCAGTTCTCCGCAAAATTCCATTTGCCGCACGAATTCCCTGACGTAATGTATCATTTATTTTTTTAGGTTTTTTAAAGGCCTTTTGTCAGGTACTCGACGTGAGTGCTCTATATAAGCGCTAAACTCTGAATTAAAAAGACTTCGAAGCCAGACTTATCGTAGTATCCAAGGTCGATTGTACCTATTTTTAGCTTTCAAACGCGTTTCAAACTGTTTGTTTATGATTTAAAGCGCAAATCATCCATCCCCAAACCCGTTCCACCCTGCGCAACATTCCCCTTATTGACCTGTCAGCAACCCTTTTTGTTTTTGTTGATTTCCAAAACGCCCCAAATCAGCTGGCTCCTGCAAACCGAATCCTTCACCCACAGGACAAAAATATTTTTTTTAGTGTTCGGCCCGGGGTGTGGGCCTCCCGGTCCCGTTGGATGCCTCCACAGCTGTTTCTCGGCTTTCCTGTCTGTCTCACTATCTGTCTGTCTGTCTGTCTCCGTTCCTGTCTATCTCTCTCCTTCTCATCCTCCTCCCACCGTTTCCCATTCCATTTCCAACCGTTCTGTATGGCCGCTGTCCAGCCGAGCCACTCTCTTTTTTGTGCCCCGGGTCGCCCTCTTTTTCCCGCTTTTTTCCGGCTATTTGCCAGTCAGCCCCCTCGGCCCGGCCCGCCCCGACCGTTTGCCTTTCGATCAGCTTTTTACTCCGGGCCGAGTGAAAAACTTTCGAAAACTCCAGGGCCGTCTGGAACTCTGCCGGGGAGAGTTCAGTTCCACTATTCGGAGTTGCGATGAAAGATTTCGAAAAATTTCCTTTGGACTTTTTAGGTGATTCATAACCTTATGAAAAGCACGGTAAAAATATAAAAAATCAGAAATCATTTTTCGAGATGTTAATCGATTTCTTCGGGCGCTAAAAACTTTGAATACTCAAGAATCCCTGTAAACCAGTTTTCAGCGAATAAGAACAATTTTGGATGTTTCTAATTATTTCCTTAGAAAACTGCAAATTTTAAGGCTAAAAAAAGTAGAAAAAGCCGGATTAAGACTTTTTAAAAATTATAGATAATATAATCTTTATTTTATTCCAAAGACTCAAAAATTCATGTTCTAAGCCGACTTTGAGTGAATAATCCCAATTTTGATGTTCTCAACGGCTTATCCCCCCACTCGAAAGCCATTCCCTTGGGGCTCTCTAATTTCATATTCCCAAGCCAAAAAATATAAATTTGTTTTCTCAACCGCTTCAGGTTACGTTGATTGTAGCAACTTTTATTTCTGTATTTTCTTAAGGCTCCAAAAAATGCGTTCTGGATCTGGTATCGGAATTCTTTTCGCGGTGGTTCGTAGTTTTTCGCAGGGTGTGCTGGTTGGGAGGTGGCTGCTGTGTTCTCCGAAGTTTTTCGTCGCCTTTCGCTGGGGGTCTCCCCCCTCAAGGTCATTCGGCCTGCGAAAAAAAGTGGAAAGAGATAAAGGGGGAAGACAAGTTGCGCAAAGTTTCGTCGCAAGCTCGATCATTTGCCTGACTGTTCAGATCAGGGGATGGAATCTTTTCTTTTTGGGGGTGTGGAGCGTGAAGAATGGGCGTTTCCGGGAGCGTTTGCACCTAGTGGTTTGTAGTTCCGGTATCATTGCAGCTTCTACAAATATAGCCAAATTGTTGTGTTATATTGTCGATCATCTTGTCATATTTTTCGGTACCTCTGGTACCCTGTATCACATCTCTCTCCCCCACGCTTTCTCTCTCAATCTCTCTCTCTCTCTCTCTCTCTCTCTCTCTCTTTTTCTCTCTCTCTCTCTCTTTCTCTCTCTCTCAATCTCTGTCTCTCTCTTCTCTCTCTCTCTCTCTCTCTCTCTCGATTTCTCTCTTCCAAATCCACAAGCCGTCTACCGTACTTTTGAAGCATCCGTAAACATTTCCCTCCATCCCATAAATTCAAATTCCAAAAAACCTATTAATAATAATTTGATGTCACTCCCCTTTTGGCACCCCCATGCCGAGGATGATGAGTGGTTTTTATGGGGTACCCTTATTTATGGTCACTTTTTAGGGGTGCAGAGGGAGGGATAGGTCGTCTAGCAAACTTCTTTCAATCGTATTCGTCGATTTTTTTATTGAGGCATTTATTTCTTAGCCGGCTTTAGCGGTTAAAGGATTACTGTAGGTTTTTAAATCGGGTTTTACTGGATTTGTCAAGCACCGAAAAATTCTATGTGCTGGATTTCTTGATAATGCAACTAAATTTAACAATTTTTTCGGCCTTTGACCCCAAGGAAAAATCTTAGTATCCGTTGATCGCGCTAACCAACTACGGTATGTTTTTAATACTTTTGTTTTGAAAAGCTGTAAAAAAATTCAGAAAATAAAACTCTGAATTTTCGGGAATTTCCTAAAACTACGATAATTGTTACAATAAACCGGAGCTAACCATTCCCTATACCACCCCTGCTTCTCAAACTACAAACTACCCAGCTGGGCCCCCCATTCCGACAACCCCTATTCCGATCTGCTCCGTGGGAACCGCATGGACAAAAACGTTTCCCAGGTTTTCCACCCCACCCCACAGCCCCCTCCCCGTTTTTTGCGTTCTTTTTCCGTCCGGGGCTGGCCGGTCAGACAAACGTGAAGGGGTGGTGGGGGGATTCGAAGGTTTTCGAAAAGGGCACAGTGGGCACAGGATGGGGTCTATCGCCCTGCAGAGAGAATGGGCTAAATGGAGGGTCTAGACACATTTCATGGGGGTCAAAGTGGGCGTGGCTTGGCTGAGGGGGAACTGCACCTTAAACGCCGCCCACCCCACCGGGTCCTTCCTCGATCGGCTGGTTGATGGTGTGTAAATGGCACGCGTGCATTCAACTAGGTCTATCAGGGATATGCATACTTGATAAACCTTGACATATATTAATTATTATACTAAAATTTCTATTATTACAAATTTTGCCATTTATTAAACAGTGATGCTCTTCCATAAAATGCAAAATTTAGATTATTACGACCATTTCCATTGAATGCAAATTTTAAAAAAACTTCTTGATTATCTTAATCACCTTACTTTAGCTTAATTAGCATTACCTCAAATTTTATCAAGAAGTTGATATTTTTGTAATTATTATATAGTATATTTTTGTAGTGTTTTTATTATTTTAGAATTATAATGATGGAAAAATTCCAAGATTTCTCTACAAAAGTGAAATGGAATTTTTTAATTGATCTTGTTTATTTATTGTTCTTTTTGTTTACAAATCAATTTTTTAAATATTTTATGTACTTAAAACCTGATACCTATATTTGAATTTCTTGATTTAAGATATCTTGATGCGTCTCGCCGCTTCTGTTTTTACTCTGATGCTACCAGGCTTCTCCTTACAAAATGCCCGCTTTTTCTTCAGCCCTTCCTTATTTAATGCGCTTAAAATTTAATGTAAAGTATAGAGCTCACCTCGGTGTTTTACGGTATCTTTCATGCGCCTTAAGGTATCGGTCATCCCTCTAACGCCACCTGACTTTTTCCCAAAACCAATGGCCAGTTTTTCCGCACCTTTCCCCTTCCCTAGGGCGAAAAAGATAACCCTCCCCCTCCCTCTCCATTTCCACCCCGTTCGCAACATCTGTGTGTACGTGTTTGTCCGTTCGGTTTGTCCGTCTGTCTGTGGCCATTCCTCTGTCTATCCGTCTGCCTGTCTACCTTTTAGTGCCCGTGCCCGAGCCCGGGAAAGAGTCCAAACGTGCCAGGCAGCGGCTGATCAGTGGGATCTCCCCCCTCCCCCCAAATGAACCCCAGCTGATAAGCCCCGATCCCCCAAACTGACAGTAGCACTAAAAACTCTCCTTCTTCTCCCCCTCCCTCTCTTCTAGACGATTCTCATATCTAACACTAGGGGGAGGGGATGGCTAGAGTTTTTACGAGTTTCCTCTGCCCCCCAAATGTTGCGATCTGCTGGGACCCAGACTGGAAGCATTGTACTGGACTGTTAACGGGGGTAATTTGGTTTTTTGGTCGATACCTACCTCTGAATAATCATTAGCGTATCTTTATAACGTTTTTCATAGTTTTTGATTGCTAGCAAGTTACAAAAAGATTTTATGCATTTGGAAAAATCGAAAATTTGGCCTTTGATAGCGATTTTTCACACACTTTTAACCAAAATATCAGGAATTTTCCAAAAATTTTGAATTCGATTTCGAAAAACAATAAAAGGACGTTTTTTCCTATTTACTACTATATGTTATATGGATCTCGTTAAAAGCCTTTATTTCAAAATCTTCATATGGCCTGACATTTTGTCTTCCTCTTTAGTCTTCTAATTCTTTGTTTTCTTATTTATTCCGCTAAATGTCCTGAAAACAAACGATTTTACCTAAATTCTTGCAGGCCACCACACAAATGGCCCGACTACCCCACGATTTTTGGCTGGACGCCTGGAAGTATCTCCTCCAATCGCCAGCATGCGTAAGAATACCGACACCAATCCCAATTCCGTTTTTCCCTTCAGACAATAGCCGATTTGGCCAAAACACGAGTATTCCCCGCGGCACGCCAGCTCTTCCAACTAGAAGGCCTTGGTTTTGAAGGAACCGACAACCCGGATGTTGTTAAAATTTCAATTAATCATGGACCCGGGATGCCAATTCATCGAAATAAGGTATGGAAACTAAGTTATTCTTGAAAAACTATTATTTTTAGCTGCCCCAAGTTCTTAACGTGCTACGCGATTATCTTCCTCAAACAGAAACTGTGTTTTTTAGAAATTGGAAAGAGGTACGTTTTAGAATTTTAACAAATTAGCAGAGAAGGTTCTGGACTGTTATCGGGGGGAGCAATAACAACATATAAATCATTTTAATATAAGTTTTTCAATTTGTTACTTGTGCACAAAAATGCATGAAACTGACCAAAAAAGTAAACATTTTGGAATTTTCAAAAATGTTTGAAACTTTTTGCAACTTTCTAGCAATCAAAAACTACTAAAAACATTTAAAAATTATGCTATTTATTAATAACAGATTGACTGGGAAACAAAAATCAGTCCCCCCGCTAACAGTCCAGCACCGAAGAGAAATTCGAGAATTCATTTCATCTTTTTTTTTAGAATATAAGATGGCGTGAAGTCCGTACTTGGATCACAATGATGCCCCGCCTCTTTGATATCACCCTCGACCACTCCGAGCTAACGGACGATATTATGGATGTAGCATCGAGTAGCAGCGCCACCCAGCTCGGTTTTGCCTATTGTACAGCTACCAACGACTTCAAAGGAACGGTACGTGACACGCAGAAAAATAAATTCTCACACTAGCTTATCATATTTCGCATTAATCCACCTTATGCAACACTTTTCAATGACCTTTTGAAGACCCCTAATTTGTTTGGCTAGCCCTATTCGCGTTACCTTTGATTCGGGGCACCGCATAAGCGTTGTTTACTTTAGGTTCCCCTGGCCGCGGGGGGCGAGCTAGGTTAATATGAGTGTTTTTCTAGCACTTGACCCCCTAGGGCTATTCGTTCGGGCCTAGAGGATGAGCTAGCGGAGGATTTTGAGGAATTTGGACACAGAAGCAAAAAAAGTGGCATTGAAAGGGCTGGTCTATTAACGGGGGGTAGCGGGACCAGTTATCTAGTGAATAGCTACATAGGAAAATTATTGACCGTCTATGAAATGCCTAAAAATACTTCAAATATACCTCATTTCAGGAATACTTCAAACCCCTACGTATCGACATCCAAGAATGCTCCCCCGAAACAATGATCCGAATCTTTGACCGAAATCTAAATCACGGATCTGAATTGATGGACATCATCGTCAGCTATACCCAAAAACCGTAAGAAAACTATTTAATTTCCCCAAAAACGCCCATTTTTAGCACCACAGCCGCCGAATTCCTCGAATCTATGGACCCGGAAGTTAGCAATAAGAAGAGGTATTTAATAAGAGTCATAAACTTTTTAAACCTATATAAATTAATTGACTTTGATTTTATAAAACTATTGAATATAACTTCAAGTATTTTCCAGAACCACCTGGTCGCGACTGTTCAGCCGTATAGGTCGAGAATCTCAAATCACGGCCGTGATCCAACTCCAGCAATCTGTTGAGCAACACCTGATGGTGGCTGAGGGTCAGTGAATACTGTATCTTTCTATATAACAACATTTTTAGTCATGGTTCAATGTGGGATCCTTACAACTCGACAGTACTTTAAAATCATTAATAAAATGGTGGGTGATTGCGATTAGAATTTTGAGAGGGATTAATTAAGTTAAAATGGTTTTATTAATTTACCTGAATATTTTAGTTACACGATGGTGAATTGTGGTGTTCGGCTTCGTATGAGCGGTTTAACGGGCGGGTTCGGGCTTTGATGCTTCAGAATGTCGGCCGTGCGATGAGGTACCGCGAGCAAGTTGCCCAACTTTTACCTTGTAAGTTTGAAAATTGATTTGAACTGATCCTAAGCCTGATTCTTATTTAATAACCTAAATTTTGAAATTTTAGACACCGATTTGTGGCGCGACAAGTTGGTCGTCCCGGCACCTGTTGGCGAAAGTCAGCCGAGCGCGTTGGAAAGTGAGGATGAAGCGGAAGTGTAGGTTTTTCAATGGCATTTCACTTAACTTTTTCGATATAGTAAATTTATAATACATTTTTAAAATTTTTAAAAACCCTATTTTTCAGCCCACGACCTTCTAAACCTGCAGTCAGCGCCAGTATGTAATTCGGCGCACTATTACTGTATGAAAATTCCATACCGCCAAGATCTCCTAGGAATATCTAATTTTGCCTTGTGTTTTTGATGCTCACCTTGTGCCCCACACTTTTTCGACCTCCCATTAATGTCTGTATACCATGTACCATTACCGTAGTACCCTAGAATGTATTCCACAGTACCCCTATAACTGTAGTACGCTACGCTCCACTATACAGTACCCTCAGAACGTCTAAACATCTCTTGTACACTCTGTATACCTAGTTTATGTACTTTAACAGAATTTCTGCGCATATACCCTAATTCCTCTATACAGTACCCTTCGAGTAGTCTGTAGTTTTCTACCTAGCCAATTCACCTCAAATTATGACTTGTGTACGGAACACTCCGATCTACCGTATGCCTACCCTCCGATGAATGCGTTGTGAAATCTCAATGCACCTCGATAATTTTTATTATAATTAATATCCACGTTTAATATCTATATACTTGATTAATGCACATTTAAATGTACCCTATACCTTTCTCATTAATGCTCCGATGCTCATCCAGTGCCTCTTCACCCTCCCTATTTTGTGCCTTTCCCCCCAAGTACACTACCGTAGTCCTTATGGGTTTTTTGTAGTCGGGCTATTCTTTATTCAATTGTTTTTTATTATTCTGGTCATCCAGACTCTATTCGGTTTCCCTTTTTTGTTAGAATTTCCCTTATGAACCCTGCTTGCACGCCATCTCAAGTACAACAATGTTTGCAACGATTTTTGATATTTTTGTGTGCCTCTGAATTCCCACCCCCCCTTTTTCTACCCGGGTATCCACTAGGGCCAGCCAATAGGGATGCCCATTAAAACTATGAAAAATGGTAATAAAAAATTTTAATGGAAATTACAAAACTAAAGTACAGTATTTATTTTATTAAAATTACAAAGCTATCTTTTCAACGAATAGGGTAAGTCTGCAGATCACGTGGCAATTGATAACCCAAGAAAATATAATCGTAAAAATAAATCTGCAAAAATTTCCGGAAGTTATCTGGATTATTCAGCAATTGATTAATTAAACGCTCCTTCCGGATTTTGTCCTTCTGCGAGTTTGTCGCGTGCGGAGATTTATGGTTGAGTTCCGCGCTGATATATTCGATTTTTCTAAAGCGCTTGATTACTTATCAACGCACTAATGGGTTCCCAACGCCTTTAAAGTACATCTTTAAAGGTTACAAACTGTACCCTACCGCCTCTCCACACCACTTTGCTCTAAAAATTCCGCAATTTGCCGATTCATTACATCTCGAGAAGCGTGATCCGTTCCGTAGTTGATAAGCTTATATTCGATATTTTCAAAGCCACAATACCTAAAGAATCGATTCAATTATTAAAAAAATCGTGGAAAATTAAATATAACACCTAATTAAAATAATGATATTACCATGTCTGCGGCGCAAAGTGCTGGGCCTCAATGTGGCGCTGCGGCTTGAGCACGAACGATTTCAATCGATGCAGCAACTCGTTCAGGAAACACGAAATATCGCCAAAACAACGATAGCATATGTAACGCCACCCTGGTGAGGGTTGAGTACTGTAACAGAAACTTATAGACCGTTTTTTCAATAGGCTTTTCTAGAAAATCCAGACTCACTTACTTCAGGCATTTTTCAACAAATCCCGATACAAATCGATCAAGCGGATCTCTAACAATCACCATCGTATGCCAAGATTTCCTAAATACAGTAAATTTGAAATTCCGCCCGAAATCTGAATACGTTTGTCGTGGCGGTAAGTCCGATAAATTGAACGGCCGGTTTTCTTCAATAAATTCGATCGTATTGCGGCAGTATCTGGTAAAAGATCAGATATTCGTTTCTCAAGATACCTCTGATTCCACGATTCAGAATGCAATGCCCGGCCCGCAGCCAAAAATTCCTCGGTTCGATTGAGGTAGCACATCATGGCCGTCAAAAATGTTGACATATTTTTCTCGATTTTGCATGCAGCGATTTGATCGCCTTTCGAAGCCTGGAATAGAAAATAAGAGTGTAACTTTGTGCAATACGTTGTAAAAATACTAGAAAACTCTAAAACTCTGCGACCTACAATCCATAGTGGTGCCATCGGAACAAACGGACGAACACATCCGTCAAACGGGCAATTTAAAGTAATACCCGTAGCAATCGACGTCTTGATCTGTACCGGTTTATCCAAATCCACAATAAGCGCCTTGTCTGAAACGGGGAGTACGAGATCTTCATCCTCCTCTAGAGCTCACCAACTTACGTCAAAACAAGCCGAAACAGCTTAAGCCTTTGCAATACCTATAGATTTTATTAACAAATCGCTCAACTTACAATCCGGCAGATAGTAGCGTCGTGTAGTTAAGACGGCAAACACCAACAATAATATGATTAAAATCAAGCACTAAAATTTTTGGACATCAGAAGAAAGAACGTCAGATCTCACCAAGAAGGTGCATCTTTTGGACGAGCCAGAAGACCTGAGCATGGCTTTTTCTGGCCCAAGGCGTGGAAGTAAAGTTTCGGTATCCATTTGTAGGATATTTACTAAAACTTGATCCTTGACGAGATCTATATCTAGCAAGGAAATTTCATGTTTTGAACGTTGTCAAGGTGAGTAAGTTTTAAAAATTCATTCTGGCGAAAAGTCGATGCACGTTTTTGCCTTAAAATACTTTTTATACAGAAGTGGCTGGCAAAGAAGGATCCCTTTCGTAAGCGGAATCCGTAGGACAACTCCGAACGAGCCGAACCAGTCCCCTTCATCTACAGATCACATCTAGCCAGCCAGTTGCGCTTCTGCGGCGCTTGAATCAATGAAAAACGAACAGCAGTGACGATTACGAAACGATGTAGGATATTACCAAGCAGCTGACAGGTTTCTTTAAAAAGTAAAGTAAAATGGCAGCTTGTGGCTTTTGCTCCATCTGATTTCTGATCCGGTCAGATCCTCAAAAAACATCTTTCATTTCGGAGCACGTGGCCTCGCTGAGGGTGGCTCTGAAAAGACTTTTTTTTGATTATTACATGATCACGGTGGCCTTTATCAAAAATGCATTGTTAAACTAACCTCTAGTAAAGTTAATTCTCTGTCAAATCAGTTTCGTCTCGCACGGTTTTCCGGATGGCTCCGAAAATCACTCTCTTTAAGGGTTTTTGCCGATGGAAATGGCAATTATGAAATTTCCATTTGCTTTTCTCTTGGATCTATCGGCCCGCAGCCACCTCTAAAATGATTCAGCACCATCTCACCCAACCAAGTTTAAAATGCCGGTCCCTCCACCGAGCGCATATTGAAACAATCTCCAGCCAGGGGAGGCTGACAAAGAGGCTTCTTCTTGGCTACCTCTTGCTGGGATGGAGGGGCCTGTGGGCCTTTTCGGTGTCCGGTCCGGTCTCCTTCTCCCCCCATTCGAGCCCCCCGAGGCCATAGCTCAGCTGCTGTAAACTGCGGCTCTGTGGCCATCCCCTCCCTCCCTCGCTCCCTCCACTCCTACACTTTTAGCTCCACTGTTTGACAACGTTCGCTCTCACCCTCGTTCTCTCGCGCGTAAGGAAATTTTCGGAAATTTTGGCGGCACAGTCCCTTTAAGGCATGGGCTACGTGAACGCCTATTTACGTTTGCGTATCGTTCTCTGTTTCTCTCTCTTTCTCTCTCTCTCTTTCTCTCGCTCTTTCTCTCGCTCTACCTTATTTTAGTAGTAGTCGTATTTATCCTGGATTTATTTATACACACCTCGTTCGGGCACGCACTACGTGAACGCCTATTTACGTATTGCATTGCGTATCTGCCGCTTTTTCACTTTCTCTCTCTTTCTCTCTCTCTCTCTCTCTCTCTCTCTCTCGTTCTCCCTTTTTCTCCTCCAGGCATAATAAAGCCGGGCTAGCATGAATAATGTAGGTCTAAATTTTTCGCGGATTCTTATTGTATTAAAATGCATATTTTTCTGTTTTTTGTGTGTTTCTTGAAAAAGCAGCACACACAAGCACCGATTTACGATAATATACCCTACAGTATTTACGGTCTCGGAATACCGTAATTACGTCCTTTTCTAGGATGCCACCCACGCCTGATGGGGACGTACGTCTCATCCAGTCGGCCGTCGACACCGATGGCATTCCCCCAGGTAACACAGATTTTTCTTTTATTTATCTTTCTATATACGCAGTACTGTTTAGAAAATAACCCTATTTTTCCAGGCTCAACAACCTCAACGACAACGATTTCGACGATTGCAGTGAAAGCCGGCGAACATGCGACGATTGTTGTGGCCCTTCTCAAGGTATTTTGAAGACCTTGGAATTTAATAAAAATTTAATTTTTTGCTATTTTCTGCTAGTGACTGTAGAGATTTTCGTTATTATGTGATGTTACTACCTCTGGAAATAGCAAGAGACTCTAGGTTAGCACGAAAAAGCTGAGCGGAAAAGGGTCGCGGGTGGGCGACAGTTGCCTTGGCCACTCGATTAGCACGAGCCTGAAGTTTAATAGTTGCCCAGCGGTCAGAGTAGACGAGTAGCGGATATGATTAAAATATAAACAAATTAAATCTAAAAATACGATATGATATTTTAGAAAAAACGAAATTTTTTTAGTCAATGGGCTACGTGGAGCTCCGTATTGACGAGATGCGGCCTGGGTTGTTGGCGATCGGAGGGAGCTTGGAGGAGACCCGTTCGCTGCTCGCCATGCACGAAGATATTATGCATCGATTGAGAGTAAGCTAGAAATTCGTTGTATTAATTAATTAATCACCATAATAATGACAAATAAGTTTAAATCATTGGTTCAGGAAAAAGAGGATCAGGTAGAGGTGCTGCTCTCGCGCGCCGATAATCTGGCCCATGAGAAAGAAAATCCGAACGAACAGATTGGTATGTGTTTTGTCTTTTTCTGACCCCTCGCTAATACACTAGAACCCAATGTTTTTATTGCTATTTTCTGGTTTTAGTGTACGAAGCAATGGCCCGTTCTTTGAATACGGCCTGGAGGGAGCTGCTCAAGCAACTGCAGCTGCGCGGCTACCTCCTTCACGACGTCTTGGAATTTTATATCCTTTTCAACAAGCATCAGCAGGTAATTATAAAAACTTATACAAATTAATTTCTCCAGCTCTGCCATCAGATCAGTCGCGCGGGCTCCAGCTCCGGTGCCGGCTACAATGGTAATTTTAACAATTCAACAAAGATGCCGGAATTTTAGAGCTGGTCGATATTACTTCAAAGGCGATTGGACAAGGGGCTACGGTAATTGCTCAGGTAAATTTAATAAAACTCAAATAATATATTAATTGCAATATAATTTAAAATAAACTTTTTAGATCCGAACCCTCGGCCAAATCAACGACAACGAAACGCGTCCTAAAGAAATCCTGCTGGCATGTGAAGTAATTGAAAGAGCAATGCTAAGGTGAGTCAGCGATAATAATTTTGAATAATTAACGAAAATCATTAAAATATTGAGTGTTTTTAGGATGGCGCTGGAATGGGAGCGAATCGAATCCTCCGGGGCCAAAGTTGAAGCCCCAGCGGTCCAGCAGGTACAGCAGGTACAGCAGCAAGAAAATACTGATGGTACGGCATTGAAACAGGTACGAATTCGCGACTTCTATTGTTTATTATTTTTAGATCGAAGATTGGCTGGCTCGAGCCGAAAAACGCGTAATCGCAGCCAACGACTATGGCCTGTCTGTTCTTCTAAATGAAGCAGCTGTAAGAAGGGCTTTTCAATGTTTACAATTCGACATTTAGGAACAACAACACCGCCTGGATACCCTGACCAACTGTGACCCAATCCGAGTGGATACAGTACGATCTATGATTCAACAGCTTGTCGATAGTATTCACCGGAAATTGAACCTCGGCCAGAGGATCCAGCAGTTCTACGGCGCTTCTAATTCGGTAAGCGTTTGATGTAAAAATTGTAACTCAAAAAATATGCAGATGAGCTCTCAGTTGGACATGATGGAGCAGGATATGCGGAACGCCAATGCAGCTATGGCTGGAGAATTGGCACCGCTTGCTCGTCAAAAAGCGTCTGTCGTGATCGCTGAGGGTCGTGATATTTTAGGTAAATTTCTTGCTCTAATTTTAAAGGTAGAAACATGGTAAGAATTAAGTATTTGATAATACTAGTTTTTAAGGCTCCGAGAAGTTGAGCCACGAGCTCGGGCGAGCCATCTCGAGTCGTGTGGCCGAGCTCGAGTCGAAGCTCAACCGGCTTGAGCAGCTTGCACAGGAACGGAGCAATGAGAGCGCGATGAGGAGCAGTCAAATGGTTTCCACCTTGTCCCAATGGCTCCAACAGACCGCCGAACCATTCCTCGCCAAAAATGGGGAAATGGGAGCCTCAGAGCAAGATGGAGCTCGCTTCGTCCAGACCCACAAATCCTTCGCCCAGGAAGTCGTCGTGAGTGAATTCTATGTAACTTGAGATCTCAATTTCGTAGAACCAAGATTCCGAAATCCAAGCGATGTACCAACAAATGGGCCATCTCGGTGACACTGATAGGCGGACGGTACAGGAGTTTGAAAAAAGGTGGGGATCTCGTTTCAGTTGTAATTATTTAATTTTTAGGTATGAAACCGTCAAGCGTAACCTCGAGCAGCGCATTCACCTTGGCCAAAAATTCGAACAGGTCTTTGCCGCACTTTTAGTCTAAACTGCCGTAATTCTAGGTGCACAAGTTCTCTCGAGATCTGCAGACCTCATTCTCGGCTCTTAGCGGGCTACTTGACTCTAATCAAAGCCAAATTAACGACAATGTAAGTCGTGATGCCATTGCTTACATTTATAAATACTTCTCGTAGGTCGCCCAGCAGATGAACAACGTCTTCGAGATGATTCAGGAGACGTTGGGACAAGAACGGAGTCAAGGTTTTTCAAAATTTACATTTTAACACGGAGTATTAAGGAGAAGCTTTCATTTCGAGCGCCCAGCATGCAAAGCAATTTGACAGCAGCCTGCAGGTGGGTATTTAGACAGATAAAAATTAGGAATAATTTTATTTAGAATCCTTCTATACCTTTCCGGCTAATATAAATTTTTAAGGTCGACAACGCGATCCAATCTGTGCGAAACATCTTGGAGATCCATCATCAAAAGCTCACCGAAATTACACAAAAATGGACGAATATCGAGGCCACGAAGGTAGAAAAAAACGCCTTTATAGAATTTTTAATTTAAACATTTAGTCCGCCGACAAAAAGCTGCAAAACGTTGTTGAAGAAATTCAAATCTGGCAGGAAGAGGTTGATATCAAATTTCCATTTAACAACTCTTTCATGTATTTAGGTCATTGAGATCATTGGCCTGTTGGAAAATACCCACATCAGCTCGACGAAGGAAAGCGAAGGATTGAGGCGTCGAGTCCAGGAAATCCAAGATACTGTCGCGAAACAGAGCCAGCGTATCACCCAAGCGAAGTCTTCAGCGCAGGGTAGCTCTTCTATCGTATTCCGGTTTATCCGAAATGTTCAGAAGAACAACTGGTACGACGCATTGAAGCCGCACAGCAAAAGCAGCTGTACATTCAAGACAAGTTGGCACAGCTCCAGAAGAAAGTATCGTCTGTGTGTTTAGGGTTATTAGAAATTTAGGTAAATACCATCCACGAAACCTTGATCGAGGAAGAGATTCGCGAGGTGGTGAAGGCCCCAGAAATCCTAGCTCCGTTGAAGGAGACTACGGTACGTCTGGAGGTAAATTTTCAACGCTTATTTAAGGTAAACGAGGGATCCCGCTTTGAATTTGCTGCCCGGATTGAAGCGGAACCGGAACCAACTATTAGGTATTTGATTCTTATTAATTGGTCGGAATTAACGAATTCATAGCTGGATGAAGGATGGGGTTGACGTGCAGCAGAATGTCGACTATCACACTGAATTCGTGAACGGGGTCGCGACTTTGACCATTGAGGAGACTTTTGTGGAAGATTCTGCACTTTACACAGTCCGCGCGCATAATAGTGGTGGTACCGTGGAAAGCTCGGCCCGGCTGACAGTCGTTGGTGAGGATTAGAAAATTTATTTTTCGTAAAATTGTATTCGACTGGTCTTAACTGTTAATATATTATAGTCGTAAATACTCTAGTTTATAGCTTATGGCTAAAATTTAATTTTTAGCACGCTCCCAAGCTGACCAGTCACTGGCTGAAGGAAAGCCGCATTTCGTCAAGCAGTTGCAGGTTTGGATTTTATTTTAAAGTAGCATAGTTGAAACGTAGTAATAAATGTATTTGTTTAGAATGTATCTGTGCAAGAAGAAGAATCGCTTCGACTCGATTGTGTCATTATCGGAAAGCCGGAACCGGAAGTCGTTTGGCTGAAGGACGAAGAGGGAATTCGCGAAGATGAGAGGTAAATTTTCTATTTTCGTTGTTATATTTATATTTTCCAGAACTCGCTTCGAATTCCTTGGAGATCGTTGCTCGTTGACAATCAGCCGGACGGCTGTTCAAGATTCCGGAATCTATACAGTCAAGGCCAGAAACGCCGGAGGAGAAGCATCCAATTTCGCCCGCGTTCAAGTTGTACCAAAGGCCAAGGTGAACTCGTTTATTCATTTCCGTTGTTTTTTAAATTGCGGTAATTGACTTTTTCTCATAGTCGGCTCTTTATTCTTTAATTAGTGATACTTGAATGATAGGAAATCGGAAATTCTGGGTATGGGCTGTACATAGAAAATCGGCGATTTTTATCCCTTGAGGGCCACCTCTCGCCTGTGGAAGAAGCGCTGCACCTGGACGTAGTTCTGAAAAAAAGCAGGATTTATAGAGATCTCCTTTTTATTTTTTTAATTATTTAATAGTTGATTATATTTTAAATTGAGTTTTTACCTGTGGAGTGACGGTGAAACGATGAGGGAGTCCCTTCGGGATTACGACAAGATCCCCTTTTTCACAGAATAGCCGGATCCATTGGTCCTCCTGAATTTTTTAATTTAATTTAAAATTAAAATTATAATTAATAGATTAGGATTATAATGCAATGCTTACCACCGGTTCCACATCAAAATAGCACATGCCGTCTTGCACCAACACGGCCCAATCACTTTCACGGGTCACCGGGGTGTAGTATTCTTCCAGCTAAACGTTAAAATGTCAATCCGTAGGGTTTAGTATAATTTTCTAGTATATTTAATATGTATTTACTAAACAGTATACAAAGAACACAAAAAGTTCGATTTTTCGACCAAAATTTGGACTCATTTAAGTTTTTAGCTAGTTTCTACTTGAAATATTTTGATTTTACTAGAAACACTATTAAAAACTTTCTATTCAGTTACCAGGAGTTTCTAGAATTTACAAACAAGTTTTGTCCCCCCCCCCCCCCCCATAATGCGTAAGATCCAAGATGGCTGATACGTAAGAACTTACCAAGTCGCTGAGACCATTTAGCGCTTCACTGAGCGCCAACACATCCGAAGCATTCGTGTTGCTCGTAGCTGAAAAAAAAATTTAAATTAAGTCTTACAAAGAATCCTAAGTGCAAACGCCCTCAGATTCCAACCCCCCTCCCAAACTTACTCATACCTTTGACACGGGAAATGCGCTTCTTGAGGCTCATCGTGTCCTCGAGATCCACCTTATAGCATTGCACGCCGGCCTTCGCGGTCAACTGGTCCATGCTCAGGCGTTTTGGGGGGGAAAATGTGGTGGGGCAAGCGCTTGTCGCCGCAAGCATACGGGTCCATCATCCAGATCTGCATCTCGCAATCTGAAAGTTAGAGGGTGTTTTCGGCACGAGCTGGGGGAGGGAAACTTGTTGTAATAAGAAGTGGTTACGGGCGGTCACTTATGGGGGGACAGTCAACAAATTATGGAGTGAGGATTTATGAGGAGCAAGAGCTTCCTAATGGTACTTATGTACTTGTGGGGGGGGCGAGTTACTACTACACCACCTGAGAATTCGTTCGAAATGGCGTTCCAAAGCCGTGATAAGCTTAGCATCGACTTAACTTAGAAAAGAAGTAGCGTCTCGTAGTCTTCTACAGTAACCCGGACGGCCTCCCGCTAGTGCACTAGCGCCGCGCAGGCACCCCTTTTAGTTTTTGCTAAGAATTTCCGAATGCAAATTTTCTAATTAGAACCAGAAATCGAATAGCTTAAGCGGAGCGTGTCGTAGCCCTCTACAGTAACCAGGCACCCCCGCTAGTGAATAAACTCCACGAGGGCATCCTTTTCGGGTTTGCCACGGCTTTTCTAGTGCCAATGCATAGGGATTTCAAGATAGAAGTCAAAATCCATGGGAAACCTATCTAGTCAAATCAAAATTTAGCTTTTGATCTGGGAAAATTATTTAATTAAATTTAATATCACTTAAATAATGGAATATAGAAATGTAAAAGAAGCCAAAAAAATCTAAAGACAATTTCGTGAGAAAATATACCGCCCTCTAGGCTAAAGTCTAGAGCAAAGCTGTGCGCACCACCTCCAGGGGGGAGATCTGCCGTTGGCGCAAATGACTCTCCCCAAGGATGCGAGCTTTATGGAATGGAGTGGAGGGGGACGGGCCTCCGGACGAGATCTACAAGATATCCGCCCTCCTCCAAAACGCTTTTCAAAGCAACCCCCACAGCACCTTCACCCCGAAGCTGTGCCCTAGATGCCGCCCTCCGATTGGCTCACGCGCTGGCATGCCGATGGTCCGCGCACCGGTGCCACGTCGAAAAACGGGCTTTCCGATGGCCACCCGCGGCTTCAAATTAGAACTTAAAATTTTCGCCTACCGGGTGGCCGTGCACTTCCAGGAGGCCCGACAGGGATCAAAAATTTCATCGTGATCGTGGGTGGGGGAGAACACTCGAGTTTGGGATCTGGGGAATTAAAAACCAACCCAGAATGCCTGATTACATACGTCGACATGAAATAGAGGTTGCTGAACATAAATCCTTAATTTTTGAGCGCTTTTGCAGACGACTCTTGGTTCTTTTGCATTATCGGGGGGAGGGGCGGCTGGAAGCGAGTTTTCCTATAAGGCTACATATGCCTAGGAGATAAATAGCAAACATCTCAATGTTTTCTTTGTCTTCTTGGTTTGTGTTTAGTAAAGTTGAACTAAACTAGCCTTCAAGTGTAAAACTATCTTTTTTGTATTTTTAACCAAAATCTTGGGGTTCTGACTTATACCAAAAACAGAGTCGAAAAAATTTCTGTTATGGTTTTAGAAAGATCGGATACTAAAGAAAAATTGCTCACCCCCCCCCCCCCGATAATGCCACAGCACCAAAACAATAAAATTATGCTCATATCTAAGAAACTATCTACAATTAAAAATCGGTCGTAGTTGGTCGAATAGCCTTCATTTTTGTATTTCTTAGTAAAATTCTGTAGTTTTTTGCGTTTAGCAATACCAGAAAACAGTGTAGAAACAATTCCTCTATCTATATTATACCAATCAGATCCTAAGGAACCCCCCCCGATAATGCCAAAGCACCAAACCACCAAATTATGTTCCTCCAACCGGGTCAAATAATTTCTTTTACTCAAAGAGATTCCGGGTATTGTTCAGTTTTTTGCGCGAACTGGACCAGGCATCCAGTGGCTACGATAACCCGCGCCGGGAGCCAAGAACTAATTTTACCCGTGGATCGTAATTGGGCCTATTTCGGGCGATGCTATCGCCTAGTTGCAAGCCGGCGCTTGTTTTTGTTCGATTTGCGACCAAGGGGTGAATGTTGGAAAAGGGGGAATTCTGTTTTTTTGAAAGCACGTCGTCCAGAACCTTCTGAATTTTAGCAAAGCTAATAAGTAACTATTTCTTGGATTTTCAGCCAGCTCCTCCGCCAACACCACCAAAACCGACATCTCGCCCTTCGTCGCGAGCTGTAAGCATTTACAAAACTTTTTCACTTTTTTAGTCGAAACCCCCAGCAATCCAGCCGACCCTGACAAATAACACATATCGGGAAGGAGACCAGGTTAAGCTTCAGGTAAATATTTTTTTGGATTTTTTTTAAGCTGTCATTTTAGGTCTTTATCACCGGCGACCCGAGGCCGCGAGTTCAATGGACATTCAACGATCAACCACTCATCCAAACCCAGCATGTTCGCGTGGAAAACGACGTTTGTCTTTTTTTTAGTGTATCTTCACTTTTATCTCGCTTTCGGTACTGGACTGTTAGCAGGGGTGGACCCCACAATCCCCCGGCTAACAATCCAGTGCCCTTTTTCCTATCAACTTTTTCCTTTCACAGGAAACCGGCTGGTCGCGTTTGTACATTGATGGTATTCGACCCGAGCATGCTGGTATTTACACGGTATTACTGTCGGAAGTAATTTGGTAGTGTTCGATTTTTAGGTATTCGCCGAGAACGATGCTGGTGAAGCCCGCACCGGCGCCTCAATGCACGTAACACCAGCTGTTACTCAAGAAAATGAGCGCATCCAAACGTCGTCTTCGGTCACCATCCAGCAATCTGGAATTCCGCATAAGGAAGTCACCCGGGTAAGCCGTTTTATTATAGATTTAAAGATACATTACATTATTTAGGTGCTAACAGAAGGCTATTGGACCGATGGCCAGCTGACCGGCTCGCCGACGCCGCCTCCGATTCCGCGTCATGGCTACCAGGAGACTACCACCTCTACGATGCGCATTGAAGAATTTGGGGAACAAGATATGAATGAAATCGGTGGGTTTTATGCGCTGCCTGAATTGCAGGGATACCTGAATCTCGGTACTGGGCTGTTAGCGGGGGGCTTTTAGCGGGGGGAACTAAATTTTGGCTGTCCATCTATACTTAGCTGTCAATGCTAAAAGAGTATTTTTATGTGTTTTTCGGTAGTTTTTGGTTGCTAGAACATTACAAAAAAAAATTAATTTTCTTAAAATCCAAAAATTTGGGCTTTTTTGGTCATTTTTCATCCATTTTTAAGGAAAAAGCTAAAATGGTTTATTTTTTGTCATAGAAACGTACAGCATTACTTTAAAAAAATTTGGTTTTCCCTGCTAAAAATCCCCCCGCTAGTAGTCCAGTACCCAGAATCTCTGCCTCTAATACACCCCCAATTTCAGGCTTTTCAAGCATCGCCACTGAGCCTGAATTCATCCGTCCATTCCACCGCGAGTACACCGTCAACGAGGGCGAGAAAATTCGCATGGAATGCTTGATGGTATGACTGATTTAATCTAATTTAATTTTTAATTTAATTGATTTTACTATTACATAAAAAGGAAGTACAAGTATTTGTAGGTCGGTGCCCCTCGCCCAAAAGTCAACTGGTACCACAATGATCGCAACATCAACCTGAGCCAAGGATTTGTTGATGTAAGAACCTCAATTTTTTTAACGCATAATCATCATTATTTATAGTTGTCAAACGTCGGCGACACGTACGCTATTGTCATCCAAAATGCCACGCTCACCCATGCTGGATACTACAAGATGGGAGCTGAAAATTGTCGTGGCAAGACCGAAAGTCTGACCGTTCTTCATGTGCGCCCACGGTATTAGACAATTTTCATTGAATTAGTAACAGAATTTAACATAATTTTTCACGTCATTCTTTAGGGAAATGGTCCGCGCGCATGAAGAATATGAACGTCAACAAAAAATGATGCAACGCCGTGTTGCCTCGCCACCACAACGCCCGGACAGTCGAGGAACTCAGGAATTCCGCGAGGTAAGGAATATGGTGCTATGCTTCCCGTCCATACCAATTTGTTAATAATAAATAGCGTATTTTTATCATATTTTTAGCAATTTTTGACTGCTAGAAAGATTTAAAAGAATTTGAAAATTCGAAAATTTGGCTTTTTTGACCATGATCAAACATTACTCAGCAAATTTATAGCTTTTTATATCAAAAATGTTTGAAATCTTATAAGAATTAGGGTTACTGCCAAAAAGGAGTTTAGCCTGCCCCCCCTCCCCGCTAACAGTCAAGTACCAAAATCTGACCCACTCAAATCATCTTTTTAGCGCATCGAAGAAAGCGTAAACTATGAGATCGAAAGCCAGCGAAAAGCGCAGAAACACCCTGAAAGCCGTCTCGTGACTCCACCTCCAGCCAAGCGACTTACCCAGGAGCACCATCAAAGAACTGTAAATTTTCTTACTGGATTCTCTAATTTTGATATCGTATAGGATCGCCGCGAGGAATACGAGATTGAACAGCAACGGCGTCAACAAGGACAACCCCCGCATTTCACACAGGTTCCGTTTTATTCCATCCAAACATGGAGCCTTTTTAGACGCTAGTCTCGGCCGTCGCAGCCCAGGGTGAAGATGCGCGGTTCGAAGGTGTTGTCACTGGTAAGACAAAATTTTCTAGCTTTTTATTTGGTTGCTAGGATGGCCGGCCCCGGAAATCGAATGGACGAAGGATGGCGAGGTGATCAATCGGCAAACACACCCCGATATTGGTATGGTTACCATTATTCTTCACGCCAAAATCTTGTTTTAGACTTCTCAGCGATCGGCGGCCGCGTCAGCCTGTCGATACCGGCTTCCAGCCTTGACCATGCCGGAAAGTATATGTGCACCGCGCGGAATACGAGCGGAGTAGCCACGTCTTCAGCACAGCTTGTTGTCAGGCGTGAGTTACTAAGGTCATTGATCAGTACTGGACTGCTAGCAGGGGGGGACTAATTTTTGTTCTCGCGCATATATAGTTTATATATAGTGTTTTTATAAAGTTTTTTCGAGTTTTTGATGGCTAGAAAGTTACAAAAAAATGAAACATTTTTGAAAATTCGAAAATTTTGATTTTTTGGTCATTTTTCGTACATTTTCCCCAAAATTCAAACATTTTCGAAAAATTTTCTAATTTCGTCAATGTGTTTTATATCTAAAACTGGCTAAAATGCTATAAACATCGTTTATATTTTGTACCATACACAATCACTGCGAAAAATTAGCTTTCCCCTGCTAACAGTCCGGTACCCATTGTTCTTCCGCTCAATCTTTTCAACCATTTTTGGTTTCAGCAAAAACGATTGCCCCTGACTTCATCCAACGCCTGATCTCTGAAGAGGTTGTAGAAGGCGAGCAGCTAAAGTGGACCGTTCGCGTCACCGGTGATCCGGAACCGAAGGTTAGTTTGAGGAACATTTAAGCCTCAAAACTGGTAACAAGTGACATACATCAGCCATTCAGGTGACGTGGCTGCGTGATGGTGTCGTGATTCCGGATTGTGAGGAAGTGCGCATCATCGAGGTAAGCAACATCAGAAAAAACTTAGTGGACACCGTTTTCAGGAAGGCGACGGAATCCATACACTCCTGATCGTGCGGGTTGAAATGGCTGATTGCGGCCAATTCACGTGCCTTGCCGAAAACATTGCAGGTTGGAAAACGAGTGCAAAAAGCTCAACCTTTTATCTTTAACACAAAAAAATGCATACAAAACGAATAAACCCGTAAAACCATGCTCAGGTGAGGCCCGATCGACTGCTGATCTCGTCGTCAGGCCCCCAGGTGCCGATCCCGGAAACTACTTCCACGTGACAAAAGTTACCCAAGAGCGTCAGGTAAGCTACTTATTCACTTATCAAATTTTGCTTCAGGTGAAGGGCGAAGAACCGACGATCAACCAGGCATTTGCCATCGAAAACCCTCGGACAACGCCTAGCAATTTTATCTAACTTGATTCATGCCAACGTTTCCGATCCCTTTCCAATGCGTTGAAAGATTATATTGGTCTCTTCTTTCTAATAATGCAGCTGCTCTTCTCCATTTTCCGTGTTGATATTGTCTGTTCTAATGGCTGGCTATAAACGAACAATTTCTATTTTCTCTGCGGCTAAAAAGGGTTTGAAAAAGGTGCTTTTGGTTTTCGCAAAAAGAGCGGAAATTTCGTTGCAACAAACAGAGCAAAAAATCCTTTCAAACTGTGAAAAATGTCTCAAAATAAATATTAACAAAACGTTGCTGCCTATTCGAAATCTCGACAGTTGAAATGTTTTACGACTAAAGTCTAGAATCGACGAGAATTCAGCTCTTTTTGCGAAAACCAAAAGCCCCTTGTTTAAAATCCTTTTTTAACGAAAATGACCAGAACATGGTTAAACCCCGCACCCGACATGGTTTTCCCGGATACCATAAAAAACGGCTTTTTTGCGATCCACGAAAATAGCGTAGAAAATTGCGCCATATTTATTTACGTCGATAAATGTGTCGGTTACCTGGAAAGCAGCTCCACTCCTCTTGCTACAACGCGTTTTATACGCGAAAAAAACTTCGCTCTTCGCCACCTTCTCTTTAGCGCTGATGGTGCAAAATAAAATCTTTGAAAATTCCGCAACCAGCTGCGGATTATTACACAAATTGACTCCTTAGAAAAACAGGAAAATTGCTGATTTGAGCACGCGCTTTTTCGGGTCGGAACTGGCAGATTTATGATCTTCATAAGCATCTTTGCAGTTTTTCATTGCTAGTAAAATCCTAACCATATTTTTAAAAATGTTTGTATTTTGTCGTCTTTTCCCAGGTTTTTATCCCACCACCCCGCGCGAGGCGAGGCGAGAGGCGTTTTAGCGAGCCTACCGTATCCCCAACGCTACGTGGAAGGTGTATTGCCACGGAAATCTTACTCGCGTTCGTAATTACGAACCTAGTTCCTTTTCATTGAAAAAAGGTTAAAGTTAAAAAATGTTTTAAATGTTTGTTTATTAAATGTTAAAAAAGTTTTCATCATTCCCGAAAAGATAGTTTCTCGGCGAATTCTTGATCGATTCATATAAGTATTCCTCTTTTAGTTATTATTGTTTGAGGCGTGCTTTCCAGTGATAGCGTTTGTAATTATGCGAGTCACTCGTTTCAGAAGGCTTTTCTTTTCCAAAGACGGCGGTTCCTCCATTCCATATATATGCTTTCGAAAACATCAGTTTTAGCTCGAAAACCCATATGCGCTTAGCTTCAGCATATACATTTTTGCATTTTAGCATTTCTACGCTGGTATCGCGTTTTTCGGGACCAGCGCGCAAAGCTATCCGAGAAAAGATGACAGGCTTAACCGACTTTTGGTGCGTTTAAAGTGGGCCCCTATCCCGACATAGCGCCTTTATATGCATCTACTGAAAAAATCATGCATCAGCGCGTTTTGTAAAGATTTTTGCCGTTGGAGGAAACGTCACGGCCGCGTCTTTATCCGATTATCAATTCCTTACTTTATTGGTCAAAATATTTGTGGTTGAAAGTTAGATTTTCGCAACAGTTTCTCGTTGTATCAGCAGAGTGAGTTGCACTGCACAACCAGTTCTCTGCCCCCTCCATTTTCTCGCGTTCTCTCCACCCTGGCCGATCGCCAACGGGCTCTGTCCCGAGAATTGTTCTCGAGTCATCCCAGCAGGCTGACTAACCCTGCTGGCCCCCTCAACACGTGAGTTGGCTGAAACAGCGTTATCGGCTCAATTTAGCCGTTCAACTACTTGGCTATACACTTTCAAAACCTCTTCAAATTTCGCGTTTGCGTTATATTCAGTTGTGGCACAAATTACAGTTAGCGCAGCAGGATTTCCTATCCTATAAGCGAGAATCTAGTATATTTCTACTTTTTCACACGGACTCCTTCTCGTTTATTTCCATGTTTTCTAAACAATCTGATTCGATAGATAATCTTGCTTTCTTTAGTTGGCGCATTGCTCGAAGAACCGCGCCGATGCCAATATGACGCCGAAGTTTCGGATCGAGAAGCGTGCTAACAATCAATTCCAGTTCCGGGATGCCAATGACTGGGCGCTCTATGAGATTTTCAAGAGGTATTACATTATTTTTCTCAAAGATTGCTTGGGCATGAAATTGAACTCTCAATTTTTCGTCCTTCGGATCCTTGAACCCGATTGAAGTTCCTTTTCTTGCATCTATCGGCCGATTTTCTCCAAGGCGCGCTCTTATCGTGGGCTTGGCTCCAGTAAGGGGAAGACACTGGGTTGGGACAGACGCTGTCTCTCACACCTAAGTTTTGATCCGAAATTACTTCCGACTTTTTTACGGATATATCACTTTTAGGTGCGATCCGACAACTGTAGGGCGCTGTGCTGCGGTTTGCCGACGTTGGCGCCGAATAATTGAAGATAAATATTACTCCAAGAAGCACGCAAGCGAGCCTCCGTCAACTGCAAGAATGGTTTGTTTTTAACTAGTTTCTAATCTGAACTTTTAGTTGGCTCGACCAACTGACGTGGATTTACTCGTCGGTGATCTTGGTCGCATTTTGATAACTGATCGACGAAGGTAAGCGACTTTTGTATTTGAAAAATTGATTTTTTAGGATGATCTTGGAGCGAGTCTACATGGGCGATTCACTAAAAATGTACGAGTTGGAGAGAAGGCGTGAATACGAGAAAAAATTTAAGGTAAGGCTCCTTTTTATATATCCCTCTCCTTCATCATTGCGGTATCCCCTGCTAAAAGTCCTTGTTTATTCTCGTGTTTTCTTTGGTATCCATTAGCTTTTTCCGTTTTGTGCCCTTATCTTTTTCTATTCGAAGGATTCAAAAGCGCCTCTGTCTTTTCTATGCATAACGCTGAATGATTTTCAGTCGATCAACTTCGGCAATACGACAACGCCTGCTCGCTCTCCTCCTCGTTCACCGCCAAAAGCCTTCGTCGATTCCGTTTATGTGAAGGACCAAGTTGTTGCCGACACGAAGAGATCTAACTGGGCCTATTCTTTCGATGTCGAGAACTGGATTGCTGATTACGACATACAAGAGGTGTGCGATAGCGGCTATTACTCAAATTGCTTTTTATAGGTTGTACTTACAAATTTCTGCATGTTTCTCGAGCGAGAAATCCAAGAAATGGCCGAGCCGATAGTGCGACCGCCCAGTTCCCGTGAATCTTTAGTGCAAGCGACGAATTTCACTTCTCTGGTAGGCTTTCACGTTCAGATGAAGGTTCTTTTTTTTTTAGAATACACCACCATGGTCACCTGCTCAATCGCCGATTTCAAACGGAATCATTTCTGGTGCTCATCCCTCGACCTCATCCTCCTATATGGGGAGCGAGCGAGAAATTAGTGTCTGTGAAGTCAACAACTGGGATGAAGAAACGATGGAAGTGGTTGGTTATGTCTTTCGGGTATCAAAAAACGTTCTTTAGGAACTTCGTAGTATGTCTTCCGGTCGCGTCGAACGTCTCGCACAAGCACTGTCGCCGATTTCCCCACTCCATATCCACTTCAAGGTATTTTGCTTTTTTCGTATTTGAAGTTCTTTGGTTAGGATACAACTCGTCTGATGCGCCGGCCAATAAGGATGATTTTCTACACAATCAAACTGTGAGTATTATTTTCTACGCTGACTAAAAAGTATTTTCAGTATGCGCCGCAATCTTCGCCGTATCACCCTCGAAAACCTGTGTGCAGCGGATCCAATTGATTTGGATAAATGGCTGACACTCGGTGGACTTGATCTACTAGTCATCAAAGAACCGGTATGGTTTATTCACGACTTGGCTATTCAGAGCGTTTTTAATTATCCAATTGTTTATTTACAGGCTCTCAACTCTGGGCTCAACGTCACCGAGCAGATACTGTTCAAATGGTTGCGACTGCCTGAAGCAAAGCGCGGAAAAATACGCATAGAGCTCGACAAATGCCGCGGGCTAACGCCGGAAGGGTTGACGAAATTTGTCAAGGTAACGATTCTGAGAGTGTGAGGTACATCATGCTTGTTTAGGCATGGCAGGCTGCTCCCGATTATTGCGAATTTGCCCATATACAAATCGACTGCGAAACGCTTCACCCGGTTGAATTCTTGGCTTACATACTGATGAAGGTGAGCTTTTGACGAAAAAGCCCGTGTTGTATTATTCTTTTTGTCTATTTTCTATCTATTCCTTTGCAGCCAGAAGAACGGCTATCGGCCACGCTTTTCCGTGAATGGCAGAACCGAAGGCAGTTGAGCGAGCGCAAGATTTCGTTTACTAACGAGAAGACTGGCGGCAAGATACACCTTCACACCACACGACAGTACGTTTCCTATTTATTTCGTTACCGGGGTCTTTTGTGTTTGTCGAGAGAAATTTGTATACGTGGTGTTGCAGGCTGATGACGCTGACTTGCGAGGCACCCTGGGAGCTGGCCCGGCGGAAAGCGAAAAGAGAAAGTAGAAAAAATGACGGCAGTTTGCTGCCATGTTAATTTTACCTTTTGAAATTTGTAATTTGTGGAGCCTTCATTTCCAAACTGACTGTGATTTTTGACCCATTGTTGTTGAGACTGTGATACTAATTCCTTTTTCAGAGGTTTTTTTCTAATCCCGATTTTATGAATAAAGATGGTAAAGTAGAACCGAACAGAACACGCCTGAATGCTGGACGCTGTAGATTAGGAAATGTGTGTGCCTGACTACTACAAACCATCCACGGCCCGCATACATGGGTAGGCACGTTCAAGCTGCGTTTATTTCTGGCAACAACGGGTTGACGAGCAAAACCGGGAGCCGGTTGAAACAGTCTACTCCCCCTATACCGTCACTAAACCCTGGCCAAATTGGCATCGACCGGCCACGCAATGGTTCGCTCTTTTTCCAAAACTGATCTACCATTAACAATCAATTGCCATAAAAATTGCCATAGACTATAATGCGATTGACGAGGAGCTGTACACAGGTCTTGGTACGTTTTTGCATATAAAGGGCTGGGAGTTTGGGAATGATTTTTTGCTCCTGTAGACACCTTACTGCTTTAGAGGCTTTTTGCTGTTACTACTCTTCTTTTGCTCGCTTACATATTTTACGATCGAGCTGGACCGGATGAACCTGTTCCTGCGTTAAAGTTTAGACCTAAGACGCACATCTTCGAGAATCTCTGTAGATTCCCGGCCATTTCGCCGTATGAACCGAGCATCAAGGTAGGCGATGGTAGACCGTTTTAAAACATAATCTAGAAATATCTCACTTTTAACGATCGACAGCTTTTCTGTGAAGACAAGCACGCGCGGGTCATGAAACGCGATGTGGACGGGAATTTCTTTTTCCAAGACGTTGTTTTATAACTTTTATCCCAATAAGCCGACTAATTTTCAGGATAATCAAGCAGAGCAAGCGCCCCTACGATGTTACCTACAGGAATTGATTGGCGCGCTGAGGCCAAGGGCTTATAAAGCCACAAAATCCGGGCGAACCATGGCACGTATGACTTTTGCCAACCTCATCCATTTCTAGCTGCCAATCTCTGAATGGTTTTGGGTGAATCTCGACAACTTCCACATCACCTGCTTGACGAATCATACCCTGGAACCGGTCTTTAAACGCCAATTTATGGGACTACGTGATTCTACGCGCCCTGAAAAGTATATTCGTGGTGAATCGGCTCTGATGTTTTGTAAAAAAAAATGCTAGGAAAACGAGCTATACCGACTCCGCGTCGCTTCGATTTGAAAAGCCTATCAGTACATCTTCTGGTCCTCGACAGTACTTCTCGCACACAATTTCAACGGCATATGCCGGGAAGTTATGCCAAGATGCTGGATATGGGTTTTGTCGTGTTAAATGGATATAATAAGGTTTATATATGACTGGGGTCTTTGGAACGCATTATATAAATTTTAGGTTGGCGACAACAGCAACGTCAATTTGCTACCAATTATAGCCGACCCTTTGGCCGAAGCAAAAAACTACCCAACCCTCACGAAAGAGGGCGAGATCGAGATGGCAAACATTTTGCCATACAACGAATCGATCAATCCGGATACAATTCCGTTTATTTGGAAACGCATGAGCGGTTTGTCTTCCACGAAAAAAATATGCCGAATATGGCTTCAGAAAAAGCTAGGATTACGCATAGAAAATATTCTTTAGCCAAAATTTAGCTCGAGGCTGCGAAACCCTATTTAACGATGACGTTATGGATACGCGCCGCGGGATTCTTCATTACCCTAGCAAGTACTTTATGCCTGGCTTTTCGAAAAAGCCAACCGACCATTACTATAGGCCATTTTACACGAATTTTTACGAGGTTAGTTCTATTCTGTAAATCTTTTGTTGTTTAGGATTTGAAGAACCAGGCGAAAAAGATCTTTTAGGAGGTGGCAAACAAATGGAAGATCTGCTACAACGGCCGGATGATGCCCTATGAATTTGCCGATACATGGGCCCGCTTTGTTCGTTTTACAGCTGACAAATGCGCCTTTTCATTTAATTTTATTACCAGGTTTGGCCAAGTTTACCTCAGTTTCATGAATTCCAGCACAACCCACGATAATCCAAACAACCTACAGGTTTTAAATGAATATTTATTGGAACGATTGCGGGAATTTGAAAAGAACGGTATGAGCATTAAAGTACAGAGATTACCATAAGCTTTTAGAGAGTTTGGAAAGCAGTGTATTGTTGATAATGGGTGACCATGGGCAGCGGGTGCATGTGTAAGTTTTTGAAAACTACTTTTATTATTCTTTTAGGGCCACTCACAGTTTTGCTGGTCGGATCGAGGAACGAACACCTTTTATGGCCATTTATTTGCCGAAGAAATTACGGTAATGTGGTTTTTTCCGGTATATAAACGCCATTCAGGAGCACCTATCCAGCCGAAATGCAGATTTTAGCCGATAACGCGAACCGTTTCACTTCGTAGGTCATCTGGAATTTTTTAAATCAGTTTTGGAGGAATTTCGATGTCCACGAAACATTACTCGACTTAATTGATGGGAAAATCGGCAGTGGGCGCCCAAATTCGCGTGGCAGCAGTTTATTTCTGGTACGGCACCTCAGATTAAAGCAATTTCTAAATATAAAATGCTCATAAAAATATAACAAAATTTTTGTAACTTCAGATAATCAAATTCTACTAAAATCACTATAAAAATTTACTTTTTTTAACAGTCCATTACCGCGATCCTTTAGAAAATCCCCGCCAATCGTACCTGCCTTCAAAACAATGTCGTCTCTACGTTTTGTCTATGCATGGAAGAGTTGCCAAAAACAGTGCCAAGTTGGGCATTCGGAAAAAACCTTTTAAAAAAATTAGAAAAACCGACGAGTGCTCAAATTATTCCACATATCAAGAAATATTTGCGAGCCGCCAATTGTCTTGATGTGGACACATTGCGTTGTGCATCCGATCTGTCTTACCTGACCTTACCCAAAATGGCCCTATTGGGTCGGAGAAGTTTACAAGATGTTGATGACCAGTTGAAGAAGACGGTGAAGTATACAGTGAGTACCATACAACAAGGTATTAAGCAATTTTTTAGTACTGTTTCGTCGAAGCTCGCTGTGAGATCAAAGCAGCGGGAGGAGGCATTTACAAACTACAAATTCAGGTTGAAAACCGACTAAATTCCAGCGAATTCACGATACCTCATACGCCCCATTTTCAAGACAAGGATAACAAGACTGTATTGTGGGAGCAGATTTGCAATGTGTAAAATATTTGTATTTATCTTTTTTTTGCACCCTGTCATTTGCATATAATGCTTTATTTAAAACCAAAAAGTGAAAGTAAAGTAAGCATTTTATAACAGTTCTTATTCCTCTGCTTCGCCGTTTGTAAAATCCGAGATTTCGTTGCTATTCAAATGCCCGAATGCATAGACGATTTCGCGGCGGAACACCTCGTTGGCGTTGACGGTAATTTGTGGGAAATGAGGCTGAAATTTTGAAAAATTTAGATTTTCACGGTAAAATTTTAAAACATTTATGTATTTAGATTTTGTTAATTTTAAATTTCAAATAAAAACTTTTATTTTAAGGTAAATTAAAATCCTGTGAAGAACTTACGTAATTTACGGCATTCGTGTAGCCCTGGCACTCGATGGCTATTCCAGAATTAGCCTTATAGGGTTTATTCTGTTTTCCCTATAAAAATGAATTTAGATTGTTTGATACTATAAATACGTTAATTTACATATTTTTAATGTATTTTTAAAAATATCCGAAACTGAAATCTACTTTCACTTACTTCAGTATCCACATATTCCCCAGCATAAACATGTGCAATCGGGTAACTTGTCAACATCTCCATCATTATTCCGGATTTTTTGGAAGCAAGTCTAAAGCCGTATGCCTATATTGCTTTTTTAAACTTACAAAACATTGGCAACCCTACTGCGGATATCATTGAGCACAAAATCGTTGTCCAGCTTCACCGTCCCGGTCTCTTTCCCCAGCAATTCACCCAGCTTTTTCGGCTTCCGGAAGTCAAAGCGAGTTCCGGAAACGACCGCGATTTCGCCTGAATTTTAGTTTTAGAGCGTAATTAGGGTCAATTTTTAATAAAAAAAGGAAAATAAAGGTTAATGCAAACCGGTTGGCAAATTCGTTTCATCGGTGGGTAGATACGAATCGGCACGTACCTCGAGAATGTGATCATTGATCGTATCCTAAAAGGCAATGGGTTTCATATACAATCTTTTAAGTAATTTATTTCCTATTTGGATGATTTGATTAAATATGTTAGAATAATTATTTTATTTAATGAGTACAAAACCCTTTCACTCACCTCTCCATCCAAATTCCAATATGTATGATTGGTCAGGTTTAGCAGCGAGTTCTCGGTGCACACCCCCGAATATTCAATCAGCAAATGGTTCATGTCGTTCACCGTGTAGGTGCACTAAATTGAATGTTAGGATTTAAATTTTGAATTTACGTCAATTTTTGCGTCGCCAGGATACCCATCTTCTTCATGCTTCATATGCACGCGAAGGGTAACAGAGCAGACCGACCGTCGGACAATTTCCCAGTCACGCTGAAAAGAGTAGTCATTTTGTGGTTTTTTTTGAAGTATTAGTAAATTCATAAGCGTCAAAAAAGGCATTCTCACCTTTCCACAGCCATTTGCTCCTCCATGCAAGTGATGTGGTGGTTTATTGATGTCGAGCTGATACTGCTTGCCCTCAAACTCGAATTTTCCGTCTTTGATTCTGTTGCAAACACGGCCAACGGTTTGCCCGAAGAAGAACCGATCTTTCGCGTATCCTAAAAAGCGAAAAATAGGAATATTATCGTAATTTTGCAATTATTTTTAATATGTCACCGCCGATTTAATGTATTTACTCCTAAAAACGAAGTTTAAATAAAATAATTAAATTAAAATCAAAGATTATAAAACGTAAACTACCAACCCTCAGCCGTATCATATCCTAACGCAATATCAATCTCCTTTCCGCTCTCGTCCTTGAAAAACAGGGCCTGAAGTATCGCCCCTTTCGGCAAAATCACGGCCCGCAGCCCGCGGCCGTTTTTTAGCTCGATGGCTTGCATTCTGGAACGATAAATGCTATGATATAATTAATAATGAATTCAACTGATAAATCGAACAAAACGATGTGTTCAATCGGTTGATTACTGGGGTTTGTAGCCACCGATTGGGAGGGGGAGGCGGCTAAAAAAGCAACCGTCGAGCCGTAAACAACTCGAAAAACACGCCACCATCATCGAAAGAAACGGAATGAATAATAATAATAAGAATTTGGAACACAGAAAGCGAAAATTTAAGTCGATCAGGGGAACGGTGGTGCCCAAAAATGGTTCGTATCATTTGAGGGAACGGGCCGGGGATGCACGAACTTCCCTGGGTGATGATTGATAAGCTTTTTGGTGTAGATAACGATCAGCCGGGGCATATTGGCAATGCATTAAGGATATATTTGAAGAAAAAAAATCAATTAGAAATTATTATGTTTAGGTCAGTAGAATTTTTGGATTATTCGCGATATTTTCCTGCATTTGTGTATCCCGATCCAGTATTTTTATGATAAAAATTCTTTATCGACCAGCTTTACATTACTGAATAGAAATCTAAACTAAAAACCTGTACAAATACAATAGACCCCAAAATGACATGTTAATTCGTCTTGGCGGCAAGCTCGCGCAAAGTGGCGGCGACTTGTTCTTTTGAAGCATCCTCCAGGGAGACTACCCTCTCAACACCATGTTCGTATCTGAAAGTTGTTTTTTATACTTGCGGGAGAGAGAGTGGGAGAGTGAGAGAGAGAGAGAGAGAGCGAGAGCGAGAGCTAGAGAGAGAGAGAGACAGAGAGAGCGAGCGAGCGAGATAGAGAGAGGAGAAACATGGAGAGGGAGAGAGATATAGAGAGTGAGAGAGAGTGAGAGAGAGTGAAAGTGTGAGAGAGAGAGAGAGCGAGAGCGAGAGCTAGAGAGAGAGAGAGAGAGAGAGAGAGATAGATAGTGATCTAAATCCGCTTACCTAGCGAATACGCGTGGCACGATACCGGCAGCTTCACGGATAAGCACCGGAAAATCTGGATTCGCCTGTTTCAACGGCACATAATCGCTCTCGATGAACGCGCGAACACCCTAAATTTTTCCATTTACGCTTCAACCGTCCTTTAAATCAACCTTTGAGGCAGGCGACCTTTGGCAAAGGTGGATCCGCAGCTCACGCAGCGTCGTACCTGCCAATTTCAAGGCTGACATCCTGAAATCAAGCATATTTTAGAAATTTCCCGGCACGGAAATCACAAAAACTATATTAGCAAATGCATAGAAAGTTTTCCTTTTTTAAATATGTAGCGTTTACATATCAAATCGTATCGCCTTGGCTAACCTATATTTTGCCTCGAGGAGCTTTTGGGATAAAAAAGGGTTTTCAAAATTTGGTCCCCAAGTTTTGCATCAAATATAGAATTATAAAACGACACAATTAAAGAAAATCGTCTCTAAGAAGCTTGGGAATGCAGCAAATGCAGGATATGCTCGGCTACACCGCAGTACTCTGTACACATAGCATACAACCCTGCTAACGGAGGGTAAATACCTTGAGCTTATCCAGCAAGTACATTCTATTTCGTCATTTGGTTTCTTAAAGATATTAATTCGATGTTTTAAGGTATAAAGAGTCGAAATTTGTTTGCTTCGTTAATGATTTTACATTATTTAATTATTGAGCTTTAAATTAAGCGGTTTGAGGATACTAAAAAGGTTGGCAAGGGAAAAACCGTACTTCTCGTTCTCATTACGGAATTCTGGTGTCGAGCGTGGATAAAATTTAAATTACAGAAATACTCCGAAGATGTTATCAGCAGCAAGAACATTGTTCTCGAGCTCCGTCAAACGTGGTCTTTTTACCACACAGCGCTTCAAGTCAGATATTGAAAAGTTATCAATATAAAAACAAAACTTACCGATACAATATAATAATAAAATGCAAATATAATCATTAAAATATATTTTTAAGTGCCGGAAAAGGTGCAGTTATTGGAATTGACCTCGGAACGACGAATTCTTGTGTGGCTGTAATGGAGGGCAAACAAGCAAAGGTAATTTGGGGATTCTATCTTTTTTAACTAGTTATGGTATAGGTTATTGAAAACGCAGAAGGAAACCGAACGACCCCCCTCCGTCGTCGCATTCACAAAGGATAACGAGCGTCTCGTGGGAGCACCAGCAAAACGCCAGGCCGTCACCAACTCTCAAAATACGCTCTACGCCACGAAACGCTTGATAGGCCGTCGTTTCGACGACCCGGAAGTGCAAAAAGATTTGTGAGTGATTTAAACACACAAAATCAAATTATTTTTTAGGAAAGTAGTCCCCTACAAAATCACGAAAGCCTCAAACGGTGATGCTTGGCTTGAAGCCCAGAAGAAACTCTACTCCCCATCTCAAATCGGAGCCTTCACCCTGATGAAAATGAAGGAAACAGCTGAGCAATACTTGGGAACAACAGTCAAAAATGCGGTCATTACCGTACCCGCATACTTCAACGATTCGCAACGACAAGCTACGAAAGACGCTGGGCAAATTGCTGGGCTGAACGTGTTGCGTGTGATTAATGAGCCGACGGCTGCTGCATTGGCATATGGGATGGATAAATCCGAAGATAAAGTGTAGGTTTTAAGGGAGCGTGGGTACTGGGCTGTTAGCGGGGGGGTTAGTAAGGGAAAAGTGATTTTGCCCACTCGTCCTATGATAAAATATCAATCATTTTGATCGCATTTTAGGGAGTTTCTGGACATAAAAAGGTAAAAAACCTCAAAACGAACAAAAAACGCCAAATTTTGAATTTACAGATACTTAAAATGTTTTTTTTGTAAGTACTAGTTATCGAAAACTACAAAAAACGGTACAGATTCACTATTCATTATTAACAAATAGGTATAAAAGGAATAAAAACAAAATAATCCCCCCCCCCGTTAACAGCCCAGTTCCGGGAGCGTTACTTATTTTGATTTAGAATTGCCGTTTATGATCTCGGTGGCGGTACCTTCGATGTGTCGATCCTCGAGATTCAAAAGGGAGTCTTTGAAGTGAAATCGACGAATGGTGATACATTCCTCGGCGGAGAAGATTTCGACGTTACCCTTGTCAATTACCTGGTCAAGGAATTCAAGAAAGCTGAAGGAATTGATATCACAAAAGATCCTATGGCTATGCAGGTACGTTCCCCAATGGTTTCTGCAATCTTCCCGCCTCTAGAGACTTCGTGAAGCGGCTGAAAAGGCGAAGTGCGAGCTGTCATCCACCACCCAAACCGACATCAACCTCCCCTACCTTACTATGGACGCCAGTGGGCCGAAGCATATGACGCACAAACTGACACGAGCAAAGTTTGAGCAGCTTGTAGCTGGTTGGTGTTTGAAAATGGGTTTTAAAGAACGTTTAGATCTTATTAAACGTACTATTGAACCTTGTAAAAAAGCTATGCATGATGCTGAAGTGAAACCGTCAGACATTCATGAAGTACTACTCGTAGGTAAGTTATTGTAAAACGTATGTGCGTATGCAAACGTACATGCAGAGGATTACTGTAACACTCCGAAAATTTAGGCGGTATGTCCAGAATGCCGAAAGTGCAAGAAGTGGTGAAAGAGGTGTTTGGAAAGATGCCATCCAAGGCCGTGAACCCGGATGAAGCTGTTGCCATTGGAGCGGCGATTCAAGGGGCTGTACTGGCTGGAGACGTCACTGATTTGTTGCTGCTTGATGTGACGCCATTGTCACTTGGAATTGAGACCCTTGGTGGAGTTATGACAAAGCTTATCAATCGAAATACAACGATTCCGACGAAGAAGAGCCAGGTATGTGGTTCTTCTTCGATTTTAAAGGTATTGTTTCCAGACATTTTCCACAGCAGCTGATGGCCAGTCTCAGGTTCAAATTAAAGTATGCCAAGGAGAACGTGAAATGGCAAATGACAACAAAACACTCGGTCAATTTTCGCTGGTGGGAATCCCTCCAGCCCCGCGTGGAGTACCCCAAATTGAAGTCACCTTTGATATCGATGCCAATGGAATTGTCAACGTTTCGGCGAAAGATCGCGGAACTGGCAAGGAACAGCAAAGTGAGGAAAATACAAAATTACTGAAAAGTTACCACAAAATACAAAAAAAAATAATTTCAGTCGTGATCCAATCCTCGGGTGGTTTATCCAAGGATCAAATCGAAAATATGATCAAGGATGCCGAGAAGAATGCTGCCGCAGATGCCATCAAACGTGAAATGATTGAAGCTGTGAATCAGGCTGAATCGATCATTAATGATACTGAGAGTAAAATGACTGAATTTGCTGATCAATTGCCGAAGGAGGAGTGCGAGAAAATTAAGGTATACGTATCAGCCTCTAGGCACCTTTTTAATTCGATTTTCAGGTCAAAATGGAAGAATTACGCAAGGTACTGGCCGAAAAAGACAACAAATCGCCGCAAGAAATCAAAGACGCACTCTCGCAACTCCAAAAGGACTCTCTACAACTTTTCGGCGCCGCCTATCAAAAGATGGCCGAGAAAAACCAGGGAACGCAACAAGCGGAAGTGAGTTAGTACGCAGAAAACTTTATTTGCCATTTAGGAAGCCACCCCGAATGATGCTGGCAAAGACGATAAAAAGGACGGGTCCAAATAAACCTAAAAAGCACTAAAAAATTATAATTTAGCCGTAGTTTTTGTTATAGCGAGCTCATTGGACCTCCAGTTGTTATGTTTGTGCTTTGTCATTAATGCGTCGAGTACCTTATAAAGGATTTGAAGTGAAGTGCCAAAGTGGAGCACAGTTTTTACACAATCACAGGACGATTCGGTGGCTTTGGAGGCGGCGCTGATGTTGGCGGTAAGAGACTACGAGACGCTCCGCTTAACCTACTTGATTTTTAGCTTCAACCAGTGCTTAACGTAGCTTTAACTATGCATAGCGTAAGCTTAGGCTTTAACTTAAGCCCAAGTTGCCCTTGAAGCTTCTATAAGCGTTATATAGAGCTCAATTACAGCCAAGCGTAACTCAGCCTCAGCTAAGCTTGGGCTTGCTTTCAATCAAGCTAATATGAGACTGACGCTTAGCTGGGATTTTCCGGAAACCTAGATGAGCTTGCTAGCCTCAAAAATAGCTCCCTCGACCCCCGGAAGAGCCACTCCCTGTGCACAGTTCAGATGCTCTCCGCGTCTCTCCCACTCGCCCTCCACCTGGTCCTCCCCTGTGACGTAAGACCCCATGCTCTGTGACCATGGCGGCCTGGGTTCAAACGACCCAGGTCAACTTTCCATCGAAGCAAGCCCCCATAAGGGGTATAGCAAAAAGCCCCATCGAATCTAACCGCCAGCTCTTTCATAGGCTGGCGGCATGGACGTTGGGGGACATTCAATTTTTGACGGTTTTTCACCTCTGAAAGGCCGGAATACGCTGACTTTGGTCAGCGCTATTCGATGGATTGTTTTTCTAGCGTAACAAGCCCTTGTAAAGTCAAGGTATTATTTAAAGATAAACTTCCCAGTTGCTATGCGTTTTTTGTCAAACAAAAGGAGACTTTTTATGTTATAAATTTAAAAATGTTACATTTTTAATCATTTTTCAGTTTTGAAAATCCCGGAACAAGTTTTCTTTTGCTTGGGCCGCTTTTCAAACGAAAATGAGCATGTTTAAATGATGCAAACGTCCCAGTTTAATCAGAAAACAAAACTCTATTGTATGTATCTTCCAACGACATAATTTGGCTTAAGTGAACGCTTTTTAGTCAAGCGTTTGGCTTTCGAAAGCCTGGAATTAGATACCTGATTTTTAGCTTAAGCCTGTGCTTAATTTAGCTTTATGCATAACTTAAGCCTACTAGGCTTCAACTGAAGCCCAAGCTTAGCTTATCTCAGCTTTGAATTGCCATAGTAGCCTAAATAGATCTTATATATGGCTTAGTTACAGGCAAGCTTAACTCGGCCTCAGCTAAGCTTGGACTTGCTTTCAATCAAGCTAATATGAGACCAATGCTTAGCTTGGGTTTTCCAGAAACTTGTGAACCTCGAAAATAGCCTTGCCGACCCCCGGAAGAGCGACTCCCTGTGCACAGTTCAGATGCTCTCCGGCTCTCTCCCACTCGCCCCCCACCTGGTCCTCCCTCTGACGTAAGACCCCATGCTCTGTGACCATGGCGGCCTGGGTTCAGACGACCCAGGTCCATTGCTCACCGAAGCAAGGCCCCATAAGGGACACAACAAAAAGCCCCTTCGAAAGCTAACCGACAGCTCTATCATGGACTGGCGGTATGTACGTTGGGGAACATTCAATTTTGACGGTTTTTCAACTCTGAAAGGCCGGAATACGCTGAATTGGGCTAGCGCTATTCGAGCGCTTTTCTAGCGTAACAAATCATTGTAAAGTACTATTTAAAAAAAGACCTAAACCCTTATTTTTGAAGTCTTTCGTCAATTTTGAAAATCAGACGATAAACTTCCCAGTTGCTGTGCGTTTTTTTTGCAAACAAAAGGATACCTTTTAATTTTTAAATTTAAAAATGTTACAATTTTCATCATTTTTCAGTTTTGAAGAACCCGGAACAAGTTTTCTTTTGCTTTGGGCCGCTTTTCAAACGAAAATGAGCATGTTTAAATGATGCAAACGTCCCAGTTTAATCAGAAAACAAAACGTGTTTCCATCCTCAGTGACATAATTTGGCTTGTGTCAACGCTTTTTTAGCCGAGCGCTTGGCTGTCGAAAGTCTGGAATTAGCCACTTGATTTTTAGCTTAAGCCTAAGCTTAATTTAGGTTTAACATGCATAGCTTAAGTCTAGTAGGCTTCAACTGAAATCCAAGCTTAGCTTATCTCAGCTTTGTATTGCCATAGAAGCCTAAATAGATCTTATTTAGAGCTTGGTTACAGGCAAGCTTAACCGGCCTCAGCTAAGCTTGGACTTGCTTTCAATCAAGCTATGAGACCAATGCTTAGCTTGAGTTTTCTAGAAGCTTGAAGGAGCTGGCTGGCCTCGAAAATAGCCTTGCCGACCCCCGGAAGAGCGACTCCCTGTGCACAGTTCAGATGCTCTCCGGCTCTCTCCCACTCGCCCCCCACCTGGTCCTCCCCTCTGACGTAAGACCCCATGCTCTGTGACCATGGCGGCCTGGGTTCAAACGACCCAGGTCAACTTTTTACCGAAGCTATCCCAATAGGGGAGACAGCAAAGACCCCAGTAACAAGGGTAACCGCTGTCACACATAGCAGCGGTGCAAATTTACGTTGGGGTACATTTGTTTTTAATTTTTGAAAACCCGGGATCTAGTTCCCTTTTTGGCTTTGCTTTCTTAAAAAAAAGGAATTTTTCTATTTGTTTAGGATATTAACTCATCTTTATAGGTACATAATCAACTATAATAATTTTCTTGACGCGTCTGTCTGTCCGTCCGTCCGTCTGAAGCCGAATTCAACTCAAAGGGGAAAGGAGCTAGAGCTTAGCTCTCTTCGGATTCGGATAGAGCGTGGTCAGAAACCCCCAAACTGATAAAAAAATTATGAAAAACTTTTAGTTTAAATTATTAAAATTAACTTTGAAAGTGCCGCCTTAATAAAACGAGTGGGGGCCCCTCTCCCGGGAGGCCACGCCCCCCTTCCCTTCGCCCCTCTTCCCCAGGCCCTTTCTAGCGCCCAAATAGCTTTTTTAAGTTACTTTAATACTTTTAATACTTTTTAATACTTTTTAATAATGTTAATTAGTTATTTAAATTATTTAAAGTATCTAGGAAGATATTTAGGTAGTTTTTGAACGGGATTTCAGCCATGGGGGGTATCTGAAGCCATCTGGAAGGTATTTAGGTAGTTTTTCAAGGGGATTTCAGCCATGGGGGGTATCTGAAGCCAACAGGAAGGTATTTAGGTAGTTTTTCAAGGGATTTCAGCCATGGGGGGTATCTGAAGCCATCAGGAAGGTATTTAGGTAGTTTTTCAAGGGGATTTCAGCCATGGGGGGTATCTGAAGCCATCAGGAAGGTATTTAGGTAGTTTTTCAAGGGGATTTCAGCCATGGGGGGGGTATCTGAAGCCATCAGGAAGGTATTTAGGTAGTTTTTGAAGGGTATTTCAGCCATGGGGGGTATCTGAAGCCATCAGGAAGGTATTAAGATGGTTTTTGAAGGGGATTTCAGCCATGGGGGGTATTGATGGAGGTGGGAAAGGATGTGGTGGAGTGGGACATGTAGGGTAGCCCGAAGGCCAGATGGTTGCAGTCGCGAAGCGACTGTAACCATCTGGTTTATTATAAACAGAGACTGTGGTGCAATTATGTCTAATTTAAATTTTTTACTCTTCTTTCCAGCTTTGAAATTTGCTTTGCGTCGCTTTCCAAGCAAAAAAAATACGGATTTTAACTTTTGTAATGTACCATTTTATATTTAAAACAAATCTTTATCGAATATATCCTTCAACGACATAATTTGGCTTATGTCAATGCTTTTTGAGTCGAGCGTTTGGCTGTCGTAAGTCTGGAAGATTAATTGTATGAATCGAGGTGATTCCTTAAATGTAACTGATTTATCGGAAATTCAGAAATAACAAAAAACTGACAGATACCGGTGCGAAAAAGATTCTTGAGAGATGTTGGAAACCAAGAATTCCCCCCGATGGGGACCCGCAAACCAAGAGTGTTCAAGATGGAATGCACGTTATAGCGTCATGGAAATATCTGATAACCAAGGGATAGAATTGGGGGGAAAGTTAAGGAAGAGATCGATAGGTCGGTGGGCGGACCTGTGTTTTGTGGCACCAGTTATTAATAAACGATCGGTTCCGGTTGGAATGTGTGATCGTCGTCGAAAAAGGCGACCAATCTTCGCATTCCCTCGCTCAATTCTTCCCGTTGGCACGCGAAGACGAAGCGCATCCAGCCTGCGGGTAAGGTTTTTCATGAATTTTCCAATTTTTTATAGTTTTAAGGTTGTTCGATACGACCATTTACATTCATTTCTAAAAATATAGAGGTCGGCACTTTAGTGATTTTGGAGTCGCTAGCCCCCTTTATCCATTTTGGTTCTTTTGCATTATCGGGGGTGGTGCAACCGTTTCTCTAGAAGTTCATAAATTACTAGTAAGTTAATAGTAAGTTTTTTATAATGTGTCAGTCGAATTCAACTATATTTTACTGGAAAACCATAAAAAAAGCTTAGAACCAGTCTTTTCGGTGAAATTTTCCTGAAAATCGACCATTTTGGCCGAAAACCCGATGTTTTTTGCATCTATAATCAAGGTTTGTAAAGTTTTTACGTATAGGAATTGAAAAATTCGGCTTAGAACCCCCCCCGATAATGCGAAAGGAACTCCATTTTTGACCTACCCGGTCGAGTCTCTCCCATAAAACGCCCTGGTGTCATGTAGATACCCCGATCTGCCATCGCCGACACGAGCTGCTCCTCATCAGGGTAAGGTACGGGAATGTACTAAGAACATAGAAATACTTCGAATTTTAGGACTTCAAACCTTGCTGAAATCACAGAATAGGGTGACTCCGGCCACGCCCTTTACATAGGGGATTCGAAGGCGTTCTAATGTCGATGTGGCCAATGCATGGTGGGCGCGCAAGCGCTTCAGCTTCTCCGCGTGGAACCAGGAAATCCATTCTAGAGAAGGGATTTGCATCCATATTTTGAAAATCAAGTAAGAAAAAGCAATAATTTTTCGAAACTCGATTTTTCTAATTATAATTTTAGAAGATATAACCTTTACAATCATATTTTCGAAAATATTATCGATCGGACGTCGAAATAACGTTGAAATTTACCAGTATCTTCCAACAACTTGGTTGTAAAGTCCTGCGCCAATGCCGAGCAAGGCTGAACAACCTCCATTCGAGTCAGCGCCATTCCCATTGCTTTATCGGTGCATACAATTGATGCTAGACGAATGCCGGGAAGTCCAAAGTCCTGTAAACGTTTTCAAAGGGATAGTGACACCAGGAAAGCGGCTTTAAACAATTTTTTGATATAAACTAACCTTGCTCGGGCTCCAAATCCATGCCGTCGCATTCGGGTTGACTAGCTTATGGCGATACGACAAAAATGAGACAAATTCATGCCCGTGCCCGTATATAGTTCCCGAGAAAACCTCATCCACCACAACAAACAAGCCATTTCTAAAAATATAAAATATATATTTAAATGATTCTTTGCATATAATTTTTGAAAATCAAAGCTGTTAATTTTTAAATATTGAAATGTATTTGCTACTTACTCGTTCGCCCAATTACATAGCATAATCATCTGCTCTTCCGGAAAAACGACCCCCAGCGGGTTGTGCGGGTTGAGAATGGTAATCCCGCGTACCGGAAGCCCCTAAAATCAGTCAATTTTTCACTTACTGACCCCTTTAAAACCAATTTTCCGAAAAAAACGTACTTCTGCTGTATTTTGAGCTATCGTCTCTTGCAAGGCCTCAATGTCCAACGAGGGCTTCGCCAAGTTTTTCTAAAATTCGACTTAAATGCCGCATTACTCCAACTTACAAATGGTACAGTAATCAGCCGACACTCTGCCCGTTCTTCCACATTGTTGTAGATTCGCGTATAAACCGGCCGCGTGCTGAGCACGACATCTGGAGTTATACGTAATTTGTAGTCGGACACTAATTTCCCATACCTTCTGGCTCGAGCGACGCGAATGCGACCATATCATGAGCTGCATTTGAGCCTGGCGCCAATAAAATATCATTTGTAGTGAGCTTCTTGGCATCCATAACCCGGATGAAGTACCGTAGCAGGGCTTGTTTTACGCTAAAAATTAGGTTAAAGCAGAAATATCCCTAAATCTATACCTTAAAAATCCGCCAGACGGTCCGTAGTGCACTAAATGATCTAATCGAGTGGTGGCTTCTTCCTGAAAGTGTTTCGCATTTTGGAGTACAAACTACAATAAACCTACATTGCTTGAATTCATGCATTGAAGCCCTTTCTCGCGAATCAAATCCTCGCATACGTTGTTCTCGGCGGTACAAAGATTAATGCTTCCCTAAATAACGTTTAGGTATTTTATTTAAATATTTTAGTATTAATTCTAAAACTCGAAGCTAAGAATTACAGTAGGATTCCGCACGGGATCGAAACGGTTCTCCAGCATCCTCAAATAGATCAACGCCGCCGGGTCGTACTTGGAAATGAGCCTCTCAGCTCGGGTTGACAGGGTTGGGTATGTCTCGCGGTGCTATAAAATGTATTAAATTTTTAGGTGCCGTAATCGACGCATAAATAAGTAATATAAATGAAAACGGGCATACCTTCTTTTCTTTCAAACATGAATAAAGCAGATTCCGGAGCTTTGGGGCGAGAGAAAAGTCGAGCTCGGCCATATCCGAGATTGAACAATCTCCGCCGTGGGAGTGACGCTATAATTGGGTACTGTAGGCCTAAGTACTTTATTAAAATCCATAAATATCGACTGTTTTATTATCAATATTTTAATAAAGCTGGCTCGTACCTGCAATGATGTCAATAATTGCCCAAGAGGGTCCGAGCGCAATATCGCCAGTGAGTAGGATCCTGCAATATCATGTAATTTTAATTATTATTATGGTCTCTAAGATTTTTTATCTAATAAGGTGATTGTTTAATCTATACCTTTAACAATAAAATAATCGTCTCCAACCTCGACCTCAAGCAGCTCGTTGTCTGTCGGCCGGGACTAAGATTAAATCATAGAATAGCTGGGTAATACAGGATCGTTAGTAGTATATTAACGGAATCGGGAAGCTAGGCCTGAGGTCTGACTTGCCAACCCCTTTAAGGAAAAACGCAAAAAAGCCCTCCACCTCGTTGACCACCTCAATCCGCTGGCCGCTCATTGCCGTGGAAAGCTGGAAAAGCCAGGTGCTTGGGTTATTAAAGCGTAAAAATTTAAACCGTTAAAGAACACGTTAAATAAATTCAAGCACAAACAAGCTAAATCGTAATTTCCGCTTTGCTGTGCTGGTCGTGTTATCGGAGGTCGGGTCAGGTCGACATTTACAACTTTTGGTTTGCCATTAAATTGCGCGTGATAGCAACCTGACTAGGGGCTCTTTGTAGCTTGTAGCTTGAAATTTTAATTGAAGATTAGTCTCATACCAAGCCCTTTAAAAAAAGAGGGTTAGTTAAAAAGATACCTGTTGCGCAAATTCGGCTCCAGTTAGTGAGTGCCGTTTTTCAGAGCGGACGGGAACAGTTTCTTCGAAATGCACCGTTTTTTCGGTACTGGTAGATGGTGGCTGTGAGAAGCAGAGCTGTAATTAGCAAAATATATTTAATATAACTTTGAATGTCCCAAAAAATTTAATATAACCTTGATAATATCGTCTGCAGCCATCACCGGCTCTTCCAAATACACTGATGCGGAAGAGGTTACACGATTTGTCGTCTCCAACTGAAAAAGGACTTTAACTTTATGTATTCAATAAAACTTTTGCACCTCATTTAATTTTTAATTTTCCTTAAATTTTATTTTATTATTGTACCTCAATCTTGGCTGGCAAGGTTGCATACGATATCTCAGTAGGTGACCGCGCGTCCCGAATGGAACCTGGGGATACGGTAGAACCGTAGCTGATCACCGATTCGTACATTGGCGCATCCTGGAATTTGTAAGCTGTAGCTGATCAGTCGTTACCTTGACAATCGTCGAGGTGTATGTGGTTGTAGCCGATTCTACGAGGTTCCGCCAATAGTCCTCTTCCGGTCGTGGGATGCTAAAATCAAACTATATAAATTTTATAAGCATTTAAAGGGAGCGACAATTTATACTAACGGATTTTAGCCTTAATATAAATCATCATTAAAAAAGAAATACCTTTCAGTTTCTACAGCCAACGATGGTTTCCTCGAGCCGCTTAGAGACATCTTCCGCAACAGTGCATCGTCCGCCGGAACCGAAATCTCTTCAGCTACCGTATACTCCTCAGAAAGCACAATATAGCTCTCTTCCGTCTTTGGATTAAAGATGTCGTCCAAATGGATCGCAGCCACTGGTCCAGAATCAAATGTCGTCTCCCGTCTCGTCACAATTGCCACTTGTCGGACGCGCTTCGGTTCTTCGGAAGTTTTTGTGTATATTTTGAGGCTGCTCTCCACGTCCTCTTCAAGATAAGCCTCCGGGCTACGGACTCGTGCAAATATCTCGTCGAGGTTGATGGGCGACTCGGAAATAATTGGGGTGTCGCCAGGTGTATGTCGAGATTCCGGATGGGCTTTGACTTCTTTTTCCATTGATCGCTTTCTTTGAACCGGCATTTCCCAGAGCTCTTGTCTAGCATCAGACCAATTGGTCCTCGAATCGATTTCCGGGGGTTGTTTAGAAATTGGAGCCTCGCTTATGGTTGTTATTGTCTCTGTAATGATTGTTTCAGTGACACTAGGCTTTCCTGGCGTCGGTGAGCTGATGATATTTTGTAGCCAATCGGAATTGAGGTCTACGGTAGTGGCTGAATCGGAAGCTGGTGTAGCTTGTAGCGGGCTTGGTTTGAGTTGAGGCTCTGGAGCATGAACAGCTTCTTGTGCTGGTTCTAGCTTGGTTTCAGATTTTTCCAATGTCGGAGTGGGGGAGCTGACGATATTTTGTAGCCAATCGGAATTGAAATCTGCGGTAGGAGTTGAATCGGAAGCTGGTGTAGCTTGTAGCGGGCTTGGTTTGAGTTCAGGTTCAGGAGCATGAACAGCTTCTTCAGATAGTTCCGGCTCCACTTCAGATTTTTCCAAAGTCGGGGTTGGGGAGCTGATAATATTTTGTAGCCAATCGGAATTCAAATCTATATTTGGGGTAGCATCGGCATCTGGTGGAGCTTGTAGCGCGCTGAGCTTCCGTTCAGGAAGATGCTCATGAGCAGGAACATCTTCTTTTACTGGTTCTGGCTCGGCTTTATATTTTTCCAATATCGGCGTGGGAGAACTTATGAGCGTGTGTAACCAACTAGCTTCCGACTCCTCATTTTCAACAACGTCTTTTGGAGCATCAGGTAGCTTGGCCTTTTCAGCCTCAACTTGGACCTCCTTCTCAGCTTCTCCATGTTGAGCCCAAGCCCTGACTCCCGCCAATATTGAATCGAGATCCAAGGCTTGAGAATTCTGGGTAGCCGTGGAGTTGATGTCTGGAGGCGTAGAAGTTCGGATTTCGGCATATTTCGATGAGTCACTTTCTTCAGGGCTTGCTTCGGCGAGCATCGATTCGGTGAGTACCTGGGATTAATTCATTGGTGACTTATTTTCTTTGATAATCTATACCTGCGCATAGTCAATCTCCGTAACTTCTCCCTTTTCAGCAGAGTTAAATATTAGATCTAAGCTAACTTCACTTGGTGGGAGTTTTGGTACCTAAAAAAGGCCACTCGGCACCTTAAAAAACTTACCGAGCTCGGTCTTGGTTCTGGTGAGGTGATGGAGGAGCGTGTGGGAGGGCGGGATACAGTGGTTGGTGGGTGTTTGTTGACCTAAAATGGATGATACAAAAGTCTTAGCAATTTTCGAACCTTTTCCAGGATATTTGGGCGGCTTTCTTGAAGCAAATTTGCTGGGGTGTTAAAGATTTCTTCAAGATCAATGCTTTTCCTTTGGGGGTGCCGTGGTTCGTATTCCAATTCAATGATTTCTGAAGGTTGCGCGGTGGGTTCTGGTTCCGGAACGGCAGAATTCGACTCATTCTTTGGCTCTGAGGATTCCTGAGGTTTTCCTGGCATTCCAAAAATATCCTCCATCGAAATAGTACTGGCCGGAAGTAGGGCGACCTGGAAAGAGAGTTAAGAGAGAGAGAGAAAGAGAGAGAGCGAGTGAGAGCGAGAAAGAGTGGGTGAGAGAAAGAGAGAGAGCGAGTGAGAGCGAGAAAGAGTGGGTGAGAGAAAGAGAGCGAGAGAGAGAGAAGAGGTTGAAGTTTAAGTAGAAGTAGAGTCAACCCTAACCGATTTGGCTCTTTCTTCTTGTATCAACGGTCTTCGGGTAGGTGGTGCAGAAATGGAACGTTTCATTGTCACTTGTTGCGCCTTAAAACTTAAAATAAGCCTTTAAAGCGGTAAAATACCCGCTCCAAAATATCGGGTCTCGTCTCTTGTAGAAGCGGCGTTCGGGGATTGAATACTTCCTCGAGATCGATACTTTTCCGCTTGACCGCTATCAACGGTACGGCCTCGTCTTTTTCCACCTCAACACCCTTTGCCTTCAATTTTTCCAAAATCTCGGCTCCGATCGCTTTTTGTGGCCCATCAAATTCCTGGTTAGCATCGAGATATACGGAACTAAGACGGCCAGAGCTGGCTGTAAAAATATTGTCTGAAATTTCGTTTAGATCTTACTATTTTCCGGTGTCTCAATGCTTCTTGTCAGCGCTTCCGTCTCTTTTCTAATGTCAACAATATTCGCGATAAACCCGAGATCCATGGAATGTTGTGCGTATTTTTCGGCACTGACCTGGAAATGGGAAATTTAAGCATTTAAAGTTAGTTTAATTGCTTACCTCATCCATTAACTCGCGCAGTGAGCGATACTCCTTCCGGTCGGTTGGCTTAATATTGGTAGTAGCAGGCTGATTTTGGCTGGAATAAAAATGTTAATTGATGACTTGCAGTTTTCTAATACCTCGCCCGAATCTTCTGCAATCGATTCTGAAAATCGGCGTCGTCTTGTTTGACGAGATCCCAGATGAAGGAGTATGGGTTTTTGGCAGGATCGGGCTAGAAAAAAGTGCGCTAAACTGCGTGTTTTTTTTGGAATTTACATTGTCTCCAATGGGGGCTACATCTTCGGAGCGGCTTTCATTTCGGAGATCACCAAAAACTTCATCAACGATGGATTCTGCTACGGAAATGGCACCTCGTCGGAGCTGAAATAGGCAAGAATCAGCTATCATTTTCTAGCAAAAAATTTTTGAATAGACAATTCTCGAGCAGTTTTCGTCCGTAAGCAATTAGATTTTTAATAACCCATCAAAAATCCCGTTAAACTCACATCAGAATTCTCACTAGCCAATTTTCCTCTCATTTCTGGCGACATCACCGGAGTGCCGTATACTAAAACCGACTATTGATGCTCCAAAATTTGATCCAAACCTGAAAACACCTCCTCCAAATCAATGTTCATGCTCGGCGTCCTTCGAATCGAGCCCTCAGAATGTTGGGGAGTTTGAGCACCATCCCGTAATCTTCTGCTGGCAAACTCTTCCTAAAAACAAGGGACCCGAATCACATAATCGTCCTAAAACGCAAACCTGTTTCTTTTGTATCATTTCCGGTGGTAGTTTAGAATCGGCGCAAGCGGAGCACCGACATTCCTTTTCGCCTTCATCTTTTGTGCAGTGATGCTCGTTCTTGGAGAACACTCTTTCGAGGAGATCGACCGCCACTTCCTCGGCTATAACTTCTTCTGAAGGTACTGGTTTTGATGAAGCTGGTCGTGGGTGGAAGATCTCTTCGAGGTCGATGACAGTGTTGAATTGCTGAAAAGCAGTGGTGGTTGCTTTAAATGGCACTCACGGATCTGTCGACTTTCCTGCTCATTTCACTGGCCGGGCGCGGAGTAACAGCGTGGCCATGATGGACTTGAAAGGCTGAGCGAGTACGCAACTTTTCTTTGCCAGTCGTGTCGATGACTTTCAGTCCGCTACCTTCCAGTGAATATGGATTTGTGAAGACCTAAATGAAAAAAGATACAACGGTACTGGTCTGTTAGCAGGGGAAGGAGACATTTAACAGGGATAGAATAACTAATGAAAAATGACCAAAAAAGCTAGAATTATCGACGTTTCAAAAATATTTAAATTATTTTGTATAACTTTTTAGCAATAAAAATACTAAAAACATTATAAAAATACACTATTAATTGTGAGCAGGAAGCTAGAGGAGCATAAAAAAAAACAAAAATTAGTCCCCCCCCCTGCTAACCTCCCAGTACCAATTCAACCCCCAAAATACTTTAAATCCCTCACCTGTTCCAAATCAATCTCCACCGGTGTCGTCTTCTCCACAACCACCTCGAACTTCACCGGCTTCTCATCCATCCTCATCAACTTCTCCGATTCCAACAGCATTTTTTGATATCTATCAAAATACTGCAAACTTTCCCGCCGAAACATACGCCGCTTCCCGTGCCGCGTCGTCAGTTGGTGAGATGTTCTCATCGTTTCCGGACTTCTCCACATCGATCCCCTCATTTTGCAGCCATTCCCGGGCCGATTGGCAGGAAACGCAATAGCATTCTCGGCCATCGGATGATGGTTCTCCTAAAAAAAACAAAATATTAAAAAGCTATAAAATTAAAATATTAAATATTAAACAAACCTGTGATTACACACAATCCACGCGTCACTCTCGCTAAATCGAGCTCGGTGAGGGACCTCAAAACACAGTTTTCAATTAAAAAATGCAACTTACGTTGGTCGGGCACTTCTGCTGACTTCAAATTCAGTTTCCTGTGGGATTCTGAATTCATAAGTTTCGGAGGTAGATTCATTTTTTGCCAAAATGTCGGCATAGATTGAGATTTGTTCGACCGGGACGACGGTACGTTCGGTGGTCGAGACATTTGTTATCTAAAACAAATCGACTTTCATACATAAAGTTGAGTTTATTTTGTAAAATGGCAAAATCTGCGTGCTCTACTTTGTATTTTATACGCAACGTTTAGATTTAACTGTATAATTTTAAAATCCGTACCTTGTAAGTCTTTTTCCCGTCATAGACTTGATTTTGGAAACCATTCCGCGGCAGACTATCGTAATTTCCATCAGGTTGTATGCTAATGGTGGTGCCGGTGGGTTCGTAGGTGGCTGAACGTAAAGATTATTTTTGAAAATTGTTTTCCATACGGTAATCCTCCGGTTCTCGCACTACCGTATGACGCTCAGCGGATTTGCTCTTGCGATGGCCAAAACCCTAAAAATTGTGTTTTCTGAATTTTTCAAGTATTTTTGGGGAAGCAATTCGTTAGTTTAAGCAGATTCCAAAGCAAGCTAAACCTTCTTAAGCCTGAAGAGGTCCCGAAAAGAACGTCGTGACGGTTTTTCAGGTCGAGCCGGCGGAGCGGAGACGGTTTGTTCGAAGGTCCGCTTGGGCTTTTGTGGTGGAAGACGAGGCTGAAATACCATCACCAAGCCGTGTTAGGTTAAACGATTGTTTACAGAATTATTAGCTTATCGTAAGCACACACGCGTTAATAGCATAGTTAAGATCGAAAAATCTACCGTATGCTCTGGCTCTTCACTCCCATCAAATGGGCGCTTAAAGTCCAGCTCTACCGTTACGGCACCGGGCTAAAAATGTTTCAAAGGGATGGTGACAGCTGGCTGACCTGAGTTCGTACCTTCGCGTCCACGCTCATAGTCGAATACGCGCTATGGTCGGCGTGTAGTCGTGGAAGGGTGGAATATGGGCTGTAGACATCCTAAAGCGCTTGTTTTACATACGTCATAATTCGTTATGTTGAGTTTAATAATGTCCAAATTACAAACTGTCGACATTTTTGGACGGGTATTTCCAGCATCCAAAATTACGTATTCTACCTCTGGGCTGGGCGACTGCGGACTCCCAGTAAATATTTGATTGAGAATATCTTCTGTCAATTCGGTGCGCGGAATGTTGACAATGCTGGTCCGGGCTCGTTCTTGTAGCTGGCGGCCGAAGTCTCCTAAGAATCTTCTGGTGATTTGTGTCTTAAACTTACCCTGAAACTCGTGGTGAACGAAAAATTGGGTTTCATCATCGGGGTGTTGGGGTTGGGTTTTGGCGAGTTCTTCCACTACCACCACGACATCTTCACGCGGGGTATCCGGCGAGGTTGACGCCAGGTCGCCCTAAAATTTGAGGGTTGGCTTTGAAAGGCATATATTGTTTTAAAGGCAGGCGCGTGTAAGGCAAGGATATTGGTTCTCTAGGCTATGGATTTTCCAACGCGACGCCGTACTCTAGCTCTCTTTCTTTCTCGCCCACTCTCTCTCTCTCTCTCTCTTTCGCTCTGTCTCTCTTTCACACTCTAGCTCTTTCTCGCTCTCTCTCTCTCTCTCTCTCTCTCTCTCTCTCTAGCTTTTCTCTCTCTCTCTCTCTCTCTCTCTCTCTCTCTCTCTCGCTTGCCCATCCCTTTCAAACCGCCTTACTCACCCTCGGGCGGCAGAAAAAACTAAGAAAAGGGATAATTCTGGCCGTAATATATTCGCTTCGTCAATCACATCAAATCGTAGAATTAAGAGAAAATATTCGTTCGCTAAAAGCCGTCGAGAGTCGAATTCGAGATTATGATGGCATATATGAGAGCCACCGATTGAGGGGTGGAGTGGCTCGTAGCATCAGTCTCCCCCTCCACTCCCCATTCCACTTCTTGTTCTATGGTAATCGGCTTGCCCGGGCCCAGAACCGGATTTTGCTCGCGCCCCAAAAATTGCTGAAGCGGGGGGCATGCGGGAGTGGTGAATTTCAATATTCACACCTGGGCGATACACCTCGATGGGTTCTCAAAGGGCCTGTGCTAGCTTCCCAATGAGTTTTTTTGGATAGAGAAAAATTGACGAACCTCTTCCACCACCTGGCCGATGGCTGCAAGCCGGGCTTCGTGTCGTTCCAGCTAAAATTAAATTGAACTGATTGTTTAAGATAAAATTATTGATTTTTGAGGCCCTGGTAGGCCAGAGAGAGAGAGAGATAGTGCGAGAGAGAGAGAGAGGGCGTGAGTGAGAGAGAGTGAGACTGAGTGAGTGAGAGAAAGCAGAGTAAAGTTAGCGGTGAGCTTGCGAATGGTCACGCTTTACTGTCACGCTCCTTTAAATCGAGTAGAGAGAGAGCGAGAGAGAGAGAGAGAGAGAGAGAGAGAGAGAGAGAGAGGGAGAGAGAGACAAATAAGCTATATTTCCTTATGATCATGCTCCTAAACCCAATTTCAAAAAACAGCATCCACCCGCTTCACCAAATCCAGCAACGATCTGTGCCCCAAATGAACAGCCACATGAAGGCGTTCCATTTCCGAATATGAACTCGATACACCCCGGCCAACACCAACCACCCAATTATAACCCCCGTGAATAAGACGGCAAAAACGGTCTGCGGGCCCGCTACTGTAAAAAGTGCGAACAGGTAGGTGGCTAGGTGAATCCGAAGTTTTGTGCGGTGAGGCGACCTGTTTTGGATGTTTCCGGGGAGCTCGGCCATGCACACGGGGCCGTCATTAGTATCTCGGCGTTCTATTTGGGGGATTTCCGAGAGAGTAGCTAGGAAAAACAGTAAGCGATAGTTGGGAAGGTTTTAGATCTATTTAACATGGATTTTTGCATTTTGGCGCTTTTTTCTCTTTTAAGCCATTAAAAATTTCATTGAAATGGAGATGTGTCTAATTTACATTTTATAATATATATAATGTTTAAAACTAATAAGCTATTCCCTTAAACTTACCAATCCTGGGATGTGAACAATTGCCGGTGCGTTGGGCTCCGGTGGACAGCTGTCCAAAGGATTTAATGTAATTTCGGTAGACCCCTAAACTTTTTGTACGTTTCTGTATAAAATTTAAAATATATTAATAAAATTAATTAAAAATGTCTTAAAAACATTCTACAATAATAAAAACCCACCCGACTCTCAAACTCCAGCTCTACAGCCAGCTCAACCTGATTTGTCGGCTCGTCCTCGTCAGTCGGCCTCCAAATCAGGGTCGTGCTCCGTGATTGGGCCGGAATCTAAATTTTGTAAGATTTACTTTTTGAAATTTAATTAAATATTGCAAAGCACAAAATGAGGGCGATGTACCCAACGCTGATCGAGACTCAATTGTGTGCCTAGTCAACGGGAATCACCTAATCTCAAACCCAAACATATCATCTTTTTTCGGGAGATGTAGCCAGCAAGGTCGACCGGAAAAAGAGTGCCACATATCACATTTCGCACCAGGTTTAGAGTATCCTCGTGAGGAAAATATGAAATGAAAAAGAAGAAATAAAAAAGTCATTTCCGGAATTTCCGGAAATTTTTGCTAGCTTCCCCTACCAGTTTTCGATAGAGACAAACCTCTGCTAGCCCAGTATCCGGTTGATAGAGCAGCGAATGAGCCTCGATGCTACGTCTAAAATGAAAATAATTTCAATGAAGCACAATATAAAACCAACCTCTTCTTCCCAGTACTCTTCGATACTCGAAACGTTTCCCCGGTGTACGGTAGCTTAGTGGCAAATTCGATCTCGATGGCGCTATCGTCACCCAGGGTATTGCTGAAGAATGCAATAATAAACATGATGCAAACAAAAAAATGACTTACAACTACAAGGGTCGACCTTAACCTTCAATAAATTTACAAGTTACAAACTACGAACCCCAAAAATTAACGAAAAACTCTACCTGAAGACAATTTGACGATCCCCATTTTCTATCGCCCGAATCCGAACCTTTGCATCGCTTTCGGCAACACAACTAAAAATGACTATAAACTACCAACTCAAAAATCACCCACCAAGTCTCAAAGCAACCCTTGCTCTTCCGGCGTTTTGGGTTGATTTCGGCATACCGATGGTCCGGATCTTGAGCAGATTTCGGTCTCCCCGATTGTGTTGCAGAAGCTTTCCTCTTTTCCGCCACTTCACGGACCACCTAAAATAAGGTATTTGGTTAGGGGACCATTCAAACCTCCATGACGACATCTATCGGGCTTTCCCCTTTATCGATTGAATTATTGCCAGAACCATTACTTCGCAATGAGGCTCGCCGGAAGGAGGAGCGCTCCGGGCAGCTCCGTTCTAAAAACAAGTTATATAAGCTATAGAATCCTAAATTAAGTTATATACAACATACAGCAACAAAAAACACTGCAACATTCCAAATCTTACCAAAAGCCGGGCGCTGCTCCCTGCGTTTTCGGGGTGGGGCGACAGGATCTTCAGCTAGCGTGCAGGGGTCTTCCTGAATTCAGCGCAAAATAGAATACATAAAATTAATAATATCACTCAATATCAGAAAAATATCTGAATTTCCTACCGGATCGTCCTCATATAAGCGCTGCGTTTGCCGGACCTCAGAATATCTAGTGTAGCTTTCAACGGGGGAAATTATTGTCGGAATTTGGATGCCATGAGGAGGGACAGGAGGTGGAGACGACGAAGCTGTTGACGTCTAAAATTTATTTAAATTTAAGTTTTCAAAATTAATGCTAACACAATTAAATTTGAAAATTTTACCCCGCATTCTAAACTCCCCGTTTCTTGGCCTCCAGTGGCATGGACTTGTATTTTGGCAGGATCGTGGCTCTAAATTTAGATTAATTTTTTTGGGATGTCCTAAGCGAGCTTTTATGAATTTTTCTGAATTTTCTGAGTCGTCTAACTCGAAATACATCACTCCTTGGCACCCTGCCAACCCGACCCGCCGACTAGCAGTGGAACCGGGCTAGCGATCACCCGTGATAAATCGGGCATTTTTATGGGGATACGATCCACAACATTATCCCCCTGCGGCTTGCCGACAAAAAGGGAGAAGCCCCGTTTTGGTTTCCGCCAAATTTAAGAATGTTTGATAACTCAAAAGGGCTCTGCTAGTCGATTATCGATCGATACCTGCAGATTTGAGATCTCGACCGTTACCACGTCTCCAACTTGATGTGGGCGCCGATCAGCCAGCTCGGCATTTATCTGATTTGACAAAAAAAAATGTAAAATTTAAATATACCTACCCGATGGATGGGGATCTCCCGGTAGCCTGGCGAGCGGAGCGGCACCGGGAGAGGCACCGACATGCCTACAGTAATACGATATGATGCAAATCACGTCATTAACATTGTTATATAATCTAGAGAGAAATAAATTAAAATTAAACCAGTTGCTTAAACCATAGAATGCTACTTCCTCGCGCCTTTTGAAGTTATAAAAAGCCGTGTTCGAGTGACGGGGGGATAGGAGAAAGGGAATTGCCCTTGGGAGGGCGAGACGAGCGTTGTCGCGTCGAATTTCGAGTTTCCGGCCCGGTTCTGGTGGCTTTGAGAAAAACGGGGGTGAATTTCGAATAAAAGCGGGGGAATTAAAGCGGGATAGGGTGACGATAATGAGCAGGAGCGCATCACTGAGAAAGTTGCTGGGCTAGGGGGTTGAACACGTTCAATTTGTTGGGAATCGGTTTTTTGAGTTATTGAGTGGAATGAATTTTTAATGCTTTACAAAACAGCACGAGACAGAGCTTATTAAATATAAAAAATTAAAATAAATGAAATTAAACTTACTTAGTTTTTTCATGTTTTGAGTTTTAAATAATTGTTTTTAACAAAAACCAGAAGCGCTTAAAAGGATGGCGACAGGAAGCGGTGACCAACCAAAATAGGCGAGGGGCGGGAGGGTGAGCCGTAGGACCTCCTCGACTCCCGTTCGAGTCTCCGGGTCCCGCGGCGATGTGCTCGATACCGTAGATGGTGACGATGCCGTTTTGGCCCGGAAGATGGCCCCTCGCCGCTGGGCCGCTCGCTGAAATCGTGCACAGGTGCGTGGGGTTGGATGGAAATAGGCATGCAGTGAATGAGGGGGCAAACAAGCAGGCATAATTTGGGTAAACGAAATAAAATCTTTTTGAAGACTTTCCTGAGTTTTTAGATAAACTTCATAAAAATGTTCGAAAATTATTGAATTTTTAATAAAAATTTATGAATAATGGCCAAAAATTGACAGCATTTTAGGAATTTCGAAAGAGATTCTTTATAAGGCGCTATCATTCGCTGTTTTAATAACAGGTGGGTATAGACGAAAAGAGAAAAATTAACCCCCGGTAACAGCCCAGTACCGAGGCTTCTAGCGCGAACGGTACAATAGTTGGAACGTGCAAAAGTACCGATTTTCCTACGTTTTTTTTTATAGTTTTTCAGCTTTTTTTCAGCATCAACTTAAATTTGCATCGAATTAAGTTTTAGATAGTTTATTTATGAAACCAGCGGCCAAATTGAAGCATTAATGATAATGCAAAAACAACTGCCATTGCCAATGATCGAGGATTGACTTCCGGTCACAACACTAACCCGCAAAATAGGCTATGAGCGAACGAGGGTCGCGCCCCGCGAATCGCCGACAGATTATCCGATCGGGTGGCGTGGATGGGAGTGTACCGGAATCGAGAGGGAGCACGAGCTCTACCCCCACCAACGGATAGGGGGATCCGTTTCCACCCCTCAACTCTCTATGCGCTTTTTTAGCGGACACGATCACTCACTTCCGTCACCCGGAGAATGAGCGATTTCTCGATTTGTGAGCGGTTTGGTTTTTGGGTTTTTAGGGTTAGTAGTGTAGAAGACTTTTTAGAAACGAAAGAAATGTCGGATTATCTAACAAGTGAACGGTTAGTGAGTGAACGCCGGCAGCCTTGCCATATTCGATGCGATTTGGTGGAAGAAAGAGAGAGAGAGAGAGAGAGAGAGAGAGAGAGAGAGAGAGGAGGGAGAGAGCGCACGCGAGAAAGAGAGAGGGCAACAAAAACGAACTTGCGGCAACATAAACAGCCCCCGCTCTCCAACCAGCCATCCCCCAGATGATTATCGTCCCCCGAAATGCTGGAGCTGCCAAAAACTACCTGTGTTCACTGGTGTAGCGCGCAATATCCAAAAATAAAAGATACTAACAAGGATACGATTTTAGTGCAAACTTCAATTTGGAACCAAACTTATTTGGTGCGGAATTTTGCGTTCATTCCGAATAGGGTTACCGGATTTCCAAAACTTCGATTTTCTGAAAGTTATGCATTATTTAAGTTAGGAAACGTACAGAAACTGGTTCATTTTGGCCGTTGCAGCTCTTAGGTCGTTCATAACTTTCAGAAAATCGCGGTTCTGCAAATTCGGTAGCCAATTCGCATTCAGCGCAAAATTCTGCACAAAATAGCTTGGTCCCAACTTGCAGTCAAAAGGACAAAACGAGACCGAAACGATACTGTACGCTAAAAAACGATGCTTTGAGCAAGAATACATATAGCGCGCACTTTTAGATTAGCCAAACTTATCCCTCCTTCCCCTATCAGTCGAACAAAATCGGGAAAAGGCCGTTCGTTCTTGTATTTCCCGGCGTATCGCATTTGCCGGGAACATGATGGGAAAATAGACAACCCAGAGACAACACGATTCCCCCAAAAAGAAAACGATTTTCCGCTAACACAAGCGCGGGCCCAACCGGTGCGCGAGAGGCGAAAAAGCAAAAACCAATTCTTTGGCTCTTGCTGGCGGGTTGTATTGGAATTGCATTAAAATTTGAAAATGAAACCGGTTGGATGGGGCAATCACGCAAAAACAACTCAGAATTTTAATAAAAAAGAAAGTTTAAAAAACGGAGATTTGAAGGTGCACTTTTTCTCAAATAACAACATACGATTATTTAAATCAACTTAAATATTTATATAAAATAAAATAGTTGGTCCAAAATCCCGTCTTTTTCAGAACATACCCATACGGATTGGCAACTAAATGTTGCCACGAAACAGACAGCAACAGTAACACCCCCAAAAACCTGCTCGACCCCTGCCAACCTCCAATAATTGCCGTCCGGTTTTTGCCCGGAAAATCTGCGCTTTAATGCAACGGATGTATTTTTAGTTTTTAGAGGTCTGTTAGTTGAATAACTGCGTTTTGCAAGTGGTTTTGCAGGAAGCGTAGAAAAATAGGCATGCAAGCATGTTCAAAGCCTAGTTTCAAGCTAAACGTGATAATTCGCCATAATCCATCTCAATCAACGAGATCGAGCGCGTCATTAGAAAAGTGCGTAGTGGCGAATCGGCCCTGCGGGTGGAATGGGTGGCTGAGGCAAAACCTGAAATCGACGACCTTGATTGATAGGATACACGGGATTCGCGTGAATGCGATTAATTTAGGGCTGTTGCTTTGGACGGGGAGGGGAGACGGTTTTGACTCCATGAAGCCTGCGGAAGTTCATCAGCAGCTTGAAAAGGGACCGAATTCTTTCATCTTTCATCTCTTAAAACAAACATTTTCAAGAAGCCATTTTTAAATTATTTTATGGGCTACAATAATCCGCTGTTTTTGCCACTGTGACGAGTAAGGTTGCGCAGCCGGCTCGATCGCGGAAGCGCTGCTTTATATTTCAATTAAGCGTTTATTAGGCTGATTGTGTCTTTAATTTAAAGATATGGCTCGTCGAAATATTCGGTGGTGAATTCTGGATGTTAGATTATCCTCGCCAACGTTCAACAACAGCCAGAAGATTGTCCAGCTCGACTCGGCGACGTTTTGAACAGCTACTGTTCATGCCTTTTCAGCTTATAGCCCTAAAACTTCAAAATGAGGATCCCCGCATCGAATTGATCTCAGAAAATGAACCTACCCTGTCTTCCGACAAAAGTTTGTGATTGCTTAAATTTAAAACTATTTTTTCATTGTTTAAAGTTAAAAACCGATTTTTATTGCGACAAGATTTTCTTAGTTTCTTAGCTTTACAGAATCTTCTTTGAAAAATGGGGAATTTGGCTGCGGAATTCCAGGCGTTCTAAAAACATCGGAAGGTCTAGCTCCAGAGCTGATTTTAAAGCACTTTTGGTGCAGAAAACATTTTATGTATTTATGTACTTTTGTTCAATGCGCTGTTCACTTTGCCTTAATATATCCTCTTCCTTCACTGCATTTTTTTTTCTGAGAACACAGCCTTGCGATGCATGTGAACACCACAATCCCACTGTCTCACTCATTTTAATACAAATGATTGTTTTTTGACTTGATAAATACGTGGATTTTTGCAGAAAATAAAAAGGGCATCGCCGCTTGGAAGTTATATAAATTGGGGCCGAGCAATGTAGCAGTCTATTCGTCGGGCCAGGGGCCGGTTCTTATCAATCCAACTGCAGTGTGCTGTGATAGACTTCTCTGCTTGTTTTCGTTATTTTCCCGTTTCTGGGCAGTTATTTTTTGAGGCCAACAGCCACCACAGATTTTCTCGGATTGTTTCTTAAAAATTAACACCTTTATATAATTTTTCAGCCGATTTTGTCGATTTTTAAGGGATGCGTATGGACACGCTGCTAACCGTGAATGACTACCATCAAAAGGCAATCACACTATTGCCGAAAAACGCGAGAGATTACTATGAGAGCGGCTCGGATGATGAGCACACGTTGCGTAGGAATATTGACGCTTTTTCGAGGTATTTTTAGAGGTAAAAAATTTTTCGATTAAGTTATTTAGGTTTCTGATTTGGCCAAAATGTCTGGCGGACGTGTCGAAAATTGATATGTCTGTAGAATTTCTTGGAAAAAAGTAAGTAATTGTATAAATTTATTAGAAAATCATTATCGATTTGATCGAATAACGAATTCAGGTATAAAACGCCGATTTGTCTCTCTCCATCCGCTTTCCATAAGCTCTGCCATCCAGATGGGGAGTTGGCTACTGTCCAAGATAAGTATTCTTATGGTTATTATTATTATTATTATTATTATTATTATTATTATTATTATTATTATTATTATTATTATTTTATCGCTATATCTTTTCTATTATAAAAATCATAACGGTATAATTTTTATTTTACGTGTATCAGCCGGAAATGCCGGTGTTATGATTTGTTCTTCCTGGGGTACGACAGCTATGGAGGATATTGCCGCCCACCAGGGCAACGCCACGCTATGGTTTCAGGTATTATTTTATAATAAAATATTCGGCTCAATTAAATTTTAGCTGTATGTCTACAAACACCGTCCAACCTGTGAGGCGCTGATCAGGCGCGCAGAAAGGGCTGGGTAATTTTTTAACAGATTTTTTTATGCTCTTGAAAAGCCTAAAATACAAAAAATGTTAAATTTAGATTTGAAGCCCTCGTCCTTACCGCCGATACTCCAGTCCTTGGTCATCGACTGGCCGACAAGCGCAACGCGTTCACCCTGCCACCACCTTTAAAGTATAGATAATATTCTTACTTTTTAAACAGGAATTTTAGATTTGCAAACATCCTTGATAATAGCGACTCGAAAGTCAGGATGCCAAAGGTAATTTTATTGATTAAATATATTCTATTTAATTGTACCTGAATAATTATATTACTCCTTCATTTATTATACAGTTAATCACTTTAAATTTTATTTTTAGGTGCCCGTCGGAGATTCCGGGCTTATGGCTTACGTTTCTGAACAAGTGGATCCATCGATCGATTGGAATATGTTAAAATGGCTTGTTGGGTAAGTAACGGGATTTAAAGCTTGAAATTAATTATGTTACTAACTATATTAGATGTCTTTAAAAGACAAGTAATTTTGCAGCTTCACTCGCCTCCCCGTCATCGTCAAGGGGGTCATGCGACCTGGCGACGCGGAAATGGCAATAATGTGCGGGGCAAAGGTTGAAATTTCCATAAAATATTGAAATTCATATTTAGGCTGTGTTCATCTCTAACCACGGCGGTCGTCAAATGGACAGCGCTCCATCTACGGCAGGAAAATAGAATATCCAAAAATAAAGCCAATTTCAGATCGAGGTGCTGCCGGAAATTGTGAAAGCCGTTCGGCAGCGGGTTCCCGTTTTTATTGATGGAGGTTTTCGGAATGGGCGTGATGTATTTAAGGTGGGTGTACGGTAGCTGGAGTGTTTTTAAATATCTGGGTATTCGAATTTAAGCTTTAAATATTAATTTTAGGCGCTCGCTTTGGGCGCCACCGCTGTATTCCTGGGGCGTCCGGTACTTTACGGGCTGACAGTTGGTGTAAGTTGTCGTGAGCGTAGCTATAAACTACAAAAGCATTTTGAAAATGTTTTAAACTTCTATTTGTCATTTTTTAATTCTATTAAACTTCTGGACTAGAAATGCGAAGTTTGTGAATAACCGACTAAAAGCTACTTTGTAGGGAGCCCAAGGCGTCGAAAATATTTTAAGAATTATGGAAAACGAGTTGGAAGTGACGATGGAGCTCTCAGGTACTGTAACTCCTCTTTCTCCTTCCAGAACTGGAATTTTCAGGCTGTACCACAATTCACGAGATCCAAAACACCAAGGAAATTGTCGTGCCGGCGGATCGCTTCTCCAAACTCTAATTCGCCCAATTTGCATGTACTATAATTTGCATTCTCTCCCAAATTACTTAGCAATTTATTCCATTACCAGCGCCCAAAACCCGCTTTGCGGGCCTTGGGCGCTGGAATTGGGCCTTTGCATGAAAAATTTGACTTTCCGATAGCTCGGGTCCTTCGGACCCCTTCCTCCACCGACCACACACGCGCGGGCTAGTTGCAAGAATGAGGTAATTTGTATTTTTTCATATTATGCAAATTACCCCCAGAAATGAATAAAACCGGCTTTAACTTTGTAAACTTGTATTTTATCGAAATTCTGAGAACGTCATCGGAAACAGAAGGGTCGATTCCCCCGGGTGACGGAGAATTGGGGCATTTTATGCACGGGAAGGCCCTCAAATCGGGCCTGGAAAGTGACATCCACACACACACACACAAGTTACACGCCAAAATTATATAAGGTAGGATTTGGTCAAACAATAAAACGAAACCGAAGTGAACAACCGGGGATACCCATTTAGCAGAAATACAAAAAATGTAAATACAATAGAAAAAGGTGAAGAACAAACGCGCTTTTCAATAAATGCGAGCTAAAGCAATCAATATACAATACAAAAACGTCAATAGAAAACCAAAGAAGATGATGAAAAAATGAGATCATATCCGGTTTTCAAAAAATTCACAGTAATTTTGGGGGAACCCGTTATAGGGGATAGGGCTTGAAAGTTAAGGGATGGCTAAAGTTTAATTCAATAAAAATAATTCACAAAATTTGAAGTTTAAAATGTGAAATTAAACTTTTTCGAACCATCCCTTTAAACATCAATCAATTCCGCGCATTCTAGATATTTTTAAAGCACCGTTAAAGCCAAATCGCAATAGATTCAACCTTCAACGTTCCTTTAAAGCTACTCAAAAATCGCTTAAAATCCAGTCATAAATGATCAATCTTCCCGTCGGAGCTCGAGGAGTTCGTGTTGGTCCTGGGGGTATCCGGTGTCGAAGGGCATTGCAGCTCCGTTGTAGGGAGCAATGTATAGTCGCGGTTTTGTCTAAAAATTCGCGTTTACGGATGCAAATTAGGGGCAAAAACTCCCAAGAGATTACGGTAAGCACAACTGTGTTTTTGGGGACAACCGGTTATTTACGAACCTCCACCTCACTTTCTGACCTGCTGCCGAGGTGTTCGCGGAAAATCCATTGAGCCCTTTATTTGTGAAGGAGATTTTTTAAGTTTAATTTGTTGCTATAGTACTGTAGCGTACTGTATCGTACTGTATTGTACCGTTGATAGATTCTTAGGTTCTGTTTCATTAGCGGGGGGGTTAGAAGCCGAAAGCTAACTTGTAATTAGCTGATTCTTTGTTGTAATAAAAATATACTTTTTATAGTATTTTTAACACCTTCCGGTTTGTAAAAAACTATAAAAATTAACAAAGTCAGCAAAATTTCGATTTTTTTTGGCTATTTTTCATACATTTATGCAAGAAAAATCAAAAATATTGGAACTAATAATTTTTAAAAAATTTGGTTTCCCTGCTAATCCCTTTTATCCCGCGCTCACCCCCCCCCCCCGCTAATGAACCAGCCCTTTAAAAAATTCCTTTTAACGGTTTATATACCGTACCTTTCACTGACTCCACTCCGTTTCTTGCTTGGTTTTCGAGACGCCAAGTTGATCGTCGTCGAATTGTTTCGAGCGGAGATTTGTTGTTTGTACATTGACGACGGGAGCACGACTTTCCAGAACATCGCCCGATACCTAGATAAAAAAAAAATAGAAAACTAATATAAGATTTTATTTCCCTAATGGTGTCTGCTAACCTCAGGTAGACGGCCTCAAAGCCAACTAGCTAATTATGATATTTAAAAGTTCATCTCCAACCCCTGAGCTATAATTATTTGACCACACAACCTTTCGATAGCCCTAATTTACAAATTCACTTCCTGCGCGTACAAATACGCTCAAGCTTTTGAAGGTTACGATATTAAAAGTTCCACTTCCTTACCGTGACGACATAATGCAGTAGAGGACAAAGTTGACCGACGAGTTCAACAAGGACAGCAGATCAAGGACATCTCCAAGATAGAAGTACAGATATGTGTGGACATCCGCGGTGTAGATGGCTGTTAGGATAGAGATGATCCCTTGTGGCAGTTCGGTGATCAAGAACACGATCAAGATGACCACCAACATCAGGGTAGTACGGTCGGTTTTGGCGGATCTGAAAAAATAGGTTGGTTATACTTTATAAACTACTTTACGAAACTACTCTCTAAACGCTCTAAACTGCTATTTTCGACAAACACATACTGCTTGCTGCCGGCGTACGATGAGCTGCTGCTACAGCTAGTCAGCTTGCGACGATTTCGCTCGGCGTCACGGAGCTTCATCATCAAGCCGATCGACAGGAGGAAGAGCAAAATGCAGGGAATTACCTAGAAAATTATTTTATTTATTGTGGAACAATTTTAATAGTTTAATAATATTCAAATTATTGCTGAACTACCTTGAAAACAATGCCGATCATCCAAATGTTGGCCTTGAAGATGCGGCAATTATTTGAAGTGGCTAGTCGGGAGACCTTAAAGAATCAGGTTATAAATTATACTTTAAAACAGAAAAATATGAATCAGCTTTTTAATTAAATTAAAGGCTATTTTAAATATTAAAAAAGCAATAAAACTCACCGAGAACGTGTACACTTTTTCTGTGTAATTTTCTGAATATCCACAACGGGCCGGCGGTTTCCAGACGTGTTGGGTGTATTCTAAAAAAATTTAATTACTAATTTCCTCTAATAAACCAATTTTTAGTTCACATTTTTAAACGCAAAAACATACCGGCAATGTCGTGAACGAGGATATTTGGGGCGCAAAGGGCAAAAACGGCTCCATAAATGGCCAGGGACACTTTCCAAGCCATCGCTGGGCGTTGCCATTTACTAAAAATATAAATAAAATCGATTATTAATAAAGAGATATTGTTAGAAATTTCCTACTCTTATAAACATTAAACATACCTATTTAATTGCGCGACCCGTAATGTCATTCGTCTAACAAATGCCATGGCGACGGCCAGCCAGAGTGAAGTTGAGTGGAGGGTGATGGAGAGCACGACGTGCCACAGGAGGAATTGCATCCAGCCATGTGTGAACGTGGGATTACTGTAATTTGTAGCGTAATGGATTATTGTCATTGATAATATCAAATTTTATAATGCGCAATTAGCTTGATCTAGGAAAATTACGATCTACCTAACAAAAAACGCACCACTTATTCCCCTTAAACACCACAAAATGGCACAGGTAGATGAGGTACGTGCACATTGTCCCCAGATCACAGACAGCCACCGCCGTCAGCAAGCAGTTCACCGCCGAGTTGCGCATCGTTGGTCTAGAAGTTTCATGTTTTATTTATAGCTTAATATGGATATGTTCTATTTTAATTTCAAAAGAATCCTACCTGCTCAACACGGCCACGTGTACCAAGTTTGTGAGCATGCCGAAAACGCAGAGGCCGAGGCATAAATACCCGTGGATCGGGGCATAGAATCTAAAAAAAAATAGATAACTAATAGAGGCAGCATTTAATTTAGTTTAACGTATAGTTAAAACTAATCTAAAAACATTAAAAAATATAAAAATTACTTGTGAAAGGTCTTGAGAGATTCGATGAATTCCCTAGTGTTGTTGTTGGTGAAGTCGAAGAGCTTGGCATCATTCGGGCAGGCGATCATTTTCCGCTGGGGATGGTAGGTTGAGAGAAAGGTGGTGGTTTCGGTGGGTTTAGTTCGACATTCTGAATAAATACATACAAAGTTATACTAGTAGAAAACAAAAAGAAAAACATAAAAAATACAAATTTGATAGAGAGAGCTAGAGGGGAGAGAGAGAAGGAGAGAGAGAGAGAGAGAGAGAGAGAGAGAGAGAGAGAGAGAGAGAGAGTGAATGAGAGGGAGGAGAGAGATAGAGAGGGAAAGAGAGAGATAGGAGCAAGGAATTTCAAACTTTTTGCTCGTTCTCAAAAATAAAGAAAAAATGTTTCTTTCAACTTTCCAACCCCGAACGACAAAAACAATGAGGAAAACGTAGCAAACCAGAGGGAAGAAACCATACAACACGCCCTCCTTCCACCTATGCAAAAACTGATGGAGGCGTCGACACCTCGGTGAAGGCAATAAATGAAGGACCCGGCTGAGGGCAAATCCCCCGATGAGCGAGGAATTGGAGAAACCGGGAAGGGGAGGATAAGATGAGAACAGGAAATGCGGGCCTCCACTTAAATGAACAAAAATTTCGCGGCAAACATCTTTATAGGGGTATATATAATCTGGGGAGGGGGTTGTGACGGAGTTGCGGATTTTGTTGTGCAGTTTTTACGAAAGCTAAAAAGGAGTATTTCGAATTTTTGTAGGTATTACTGCATCTATATATAAGATTAAGACGTTCGTCACAGTGCGGTAATAATCTAGGCCGGATTGTGACGGAGCCACGGATTTCCTATGCAAGCTTAAAATTCAAGCCAAGTTATCCGGGGTTATTTCGAATTTTTTTAGTCATTAATGCATCGAAAATTGAAATCTGAGTCACACTTTAAAACACAATCATTTGAAAATATGAGGTAATGGAAACCCTAGGCCTATGAAATAATTTGTTGTTGGCCCCCTGAATTCCAGGGATTCCATGAATTGGTGATGATTTTTGGAGGGGTTTTCTTGGGGCCGGTGGGTAATTAGGTGCAGGTAGGAATCAAAATTTGTGTAAATCAGATGGGGGGGGGGGGGCGCTAGCGGAGGTTATTGAGGAAAAACAAGCCAGCCAGGTTAAGCCTAAGCCTAAGCCTACGACTAAGGCTAAACCGAAGCTTAAACTTAAGCCTAAACTTAAGCCGAAGTCACGCCCAAAAAAAGAGCCTATCCTAGGCTTTGCATATCCCTTTAAAGCATCACCTTTTGACGTATAAGCTCTAAAAGTTCAGCCAATTCGCCAAAAATTTGTCTAATTTTGTTTGTGGCCGCTGGCTTCGCCCGACAAATTTGATAAGCGCCAATTGGCGTCCGGAAGTGCAACTTGACGGTGAGGGGGGGGGGGTAATTGTTCCCGAGAATTGGGGCCAATGTCCGCGAGATCCGCGCGCGATTCTGCCCACGCTTGCAAGGGAAGGTGAAAGGTTGAGTTCATAAATGGCAGAGATCATTTGAGGGATTCTACAATAACTTACAGTCAGCAAAAAGTCTGAAAAATTTAGCGTTGCTTTATCAGACGTTTTAAAGGGACTAGGAAGTCTCGGATGTATTTAAATTAGTGTCATTATTATTTTAACCAAGATTTTTCATTTATTTACAGTTTTTCAAGATGTTTTTGGCAATTACCGGGCCCAGAAAGTGGTGAAAACCTATGCAATAATGCGCGCTTTTCCAAAGATCCGAAAAGTTTTGATAAAATTCCATCTCAACCCCTTGTTACCCCAGATTATTGATTATTAACAACCACTGCCAACCTCTTGATCAGACAGCCTTTTTCACAAATCGAAACATTTTAATCTGGATCCCCTTTTCAGAGGTGAGTAATAGAGGTGCGGAAGCCCCAAAAAGGTCGCCCAATCCCCGCGGCGTGCGTGGCCCGTGGATGGCCCGTGGTTTTTCGAGGATACCTTGCTGTTTTCTTTGTCTGGAGCAATTTTTGGGGGTACTCCAGGAAATACGGTAAAAATTTAAGAAATAGAAAATGTGAGGAGGAAGCGATCGGAAATCTGGGAGAGCCGTGAATGCCGCTAAAAATAGGGGTGAGTTATTAAAAAACTGACGTCTTGCTTCCTGGGTGGAGTAATTAATGAGGGCATGGTGGGTCGTGGAGAAGAAGGAGGAGCAAGAGGTGGAGCAAGAGGAAACGCTTAAGAAACGGCTAGGAAGTGCCGATTCCAATAGATGTTTACAATTGTTCGTAGACATTCCCGAAAAAAGGGCCAAACAACGACGCGACGGGCTAGTATGTAATCCTTTTGGGTGGACCAAGGGAACAAATTTAAAATCGAGAAACAAAGTAGAAAATAATGGATTAATAAACACAATTAATAAATACACTAATAAATACACGAGACGCGCGCTGATTTTTCGATATTTCAGCGGTTTTCGGAATTTTTAACGCGTTTTATAGAGGTATAGTGGCTTTTAATCTACGCTTCTCAACTGGGAGGACGGCTTAAATTAAATCTCTATCTAATAAATTATTAAAAGTATTACTACGTAAAAAATCTCTATCACATCATAACCACCTTTCAGACCCATTTGCTGAAATGAGAGCGGCAAATGTGTGACCCCCGGGCGGGTTTTGTGGCGTGGGCTGAGGGTCCGTGGTGGGCAAAATGGGCGGTGTTCCGCGGGGTGGAATTAGTAAAAGACGGAGTGCCGAGTTAATTGGTGGGTTCGGCCCGTGGTAAAGGGGGCATTTTAACCCCTGAATTTGCGCGGGGCTGCGCCCTGCGGCGCACGGCGCATGGGGGCCATTTTTAGGCAACTGGAAGTGTGGGGGTGTTTGGGGGAAGGGGGGGGGGGGTGGGTACGGTAACTGGAGAGGGATTATGTTTTGGAGATCGCGTGGACTTCTGATGACTACTGGGCGGTGAGTAAAAACTACATCGATATCACCAATGCTGGAATAGCCGAAATGTTAGATACGGACCGGAAAATACGCTAGGTACGGTAGATCTGGCAAGCTGGCAGAGGATTTTTCTTAATTTCTAATGAAAGATACAAACTACAAGTCGGCGTTAACGCGTGAATTAGCATTCCGCGGCGCTTGGGCTTGGCTTATAATTAGAATTGGCTTAGGCCTGACTTAGGTCCAGCTTAGGCTTAGGCTGAGGCTTAATCTTAGGCTGAATCTAGATGATAGCTCGATGGCTAATAATAATCTTGTAATTTTTTTATTATTGCTAATCCAAAAAAAAATTATGAATAATTATTATAGATTTTAGATTATTATATATGTTGTAGAAGAACTTCAATCAAATTTACTATGAATTTACTTTAATTGACGACATCCCGGACAAACTATCAAAAAATTCGCGCTTTTTTTAGCTCTACAAACTACCGTACTACATTTTCTTAATGCGTCCAAGCCACGGCAATTTATGCGCTTTTCCACAACCTGTACTCTTCCTCGCCAAAAACGTACTCTGATACCCCTAGGGGAATCAGAGTATCATCACGCGGAAATAGTTATTAGGTAGGGGGAGAGGAAGGTGTTTGATGTGGCACCCATCCAGTCTCAGTTCCCTCAGCACACACCGAGTTGAAGAGGGCCAAAATTAGCGTGCAGAGGCCGCGCACGCTGAAATTGAGGGCCCCCAAACAACCCACTGAAGACTGAAATCCCCCCTTACTAATGAAGGTGCTATGAAATGGGGGGAGAGGAAATAACCCGAAGAGGGCCCACTTCCTCCTCTTCATTTCACGGCAAAATAACTTCCAGGTTTATGGAAACTTGCGGAAAGATAGAGGGTGAGCGTGGTCAGTAAGCGTTTTTAGGGGGTTTTAGAGGGCTTTAGTGGCCATTTAAAGGGATAGGGGCCGCATAAGTCGATCGATTACGCGCGGGAAAGAAAATGTCTCTGCGCCTCTCCCCTGGGCGCCCTCTCTGGCCGCTGCATCTGTTGAACCCCCCCTCCCCAAGGGGAGGGGGGGTTCAACAGATGCCGTCCTCATCTCTCTGAAGGGATGGTTAAGGGACGGCTAGGGAAAGTAATCCATAGCGTAATCAATTACGACAGGTTATGGCCGCCTAGACATACGTGCGTTACATATTACGAAAAACCTCTCTAATTCATCGGAAAATCCATAGCCATGCCTTCGCGGTTCTTTTAAAGGCGCAGAACCCTGCGCTATAATTCCTTTTGAAGAATTGATTACCAACCTCGATTTCCCTTCAACGTTCCTTTAATTTAAGCGCATTAAATATTATCACTATTGTTTTAAACAAGCCCTAAATCCCTACCGCAACCCAACCGCTTACACGCCCCTTTAAAACTATATCCCTGCAACCCTAGATGCCGTGTGGAGGCGTTTGTATGTGGACACCCAAAATTACCTGCTATATCTTCGCCCCGGCGGTGGCCTCCCCCAAATTATACGGTAGGTGGCCCACGGGATTGAGGACCCACGGGGTAGGACCCGTGAATTTAGAGGGCCCCCAAAAAACGTACATCATTTTTCCGCGGTACGAAAGGCATTATTTGGGGGATGGGATTGGGGAGTACGGTAGGTGGGGAGGCTAGCAGAGAGAATTTGGGAGTGGGGGTTTGGGACTATGGAAAAAGGAGGCTAGTCAGAGACTATTTGGATATATTAAGGTATGCCTAAAGTTACCAGAATGCAGCAATTATGAAGAATTATGCAAAGAAGGTCGGCTGGCAGAGAATATTTGAAAAATTCTGTTTTTATATGCTAATAAGGTAAGCTAGTAGATGATTTTTAGGAAAATTAGAAAAATGCATTTTTATTTTTATGGTTTAGCAAGCTTCTGAGCAAAGAACCCCGCACTACGCATGTAAAAATAGCTTTGACTCTTTTGCAAAAGGCAGTCAAGCAAAAATAAAACGTAAATTACAGTAGAAAGCACGTGTAAAATCCGTTTTATCTATAATAAAAATCAACAAAACGATTCCTCTTGAAATTTTAAAGTCTCCCCCTCCCAACCAGCATTTATCAAACCCCCACTTACCCCTCAAATCATGTTT